TCAACATAGTCCCTGTGGAGAGAAATGGTTAAAACATCACCTTCCAGAGAGACATTCTGGATCCTCTCTGGAGCAATTCTTACGGAATGCTCATCTACAGGTGCGATTGCATCATTCACCTGCAGGATAGTCACGTCAGGTGACTGACTATTCCTAAAATGTACCTCTATCGAGTCAGGTCTTTCTTCTATCACATGGCAGTTACGATCAGATTGTACATGTGATTTCTCATAGGTTATGGGAACTTTAGCTTGTGACCATACAATTCCATTCACACAGTCAATAATTGTGTTAAGTCTTCTGAGTATTTCTATACCCAGAATCAGTCGGTCATAGGGGAGATCTACCACTATCACCGGGTGTCTAAAGGTTTTGTTACCTATTTTAAACTTTAACCAGGTATTGCCAATAACATGAAGGGCATTTCCTCCTACACTCAACAGAGCATTGGGGAAATCTCTTAGCTTCGGCTTATCCGTTGCTAAGTCTATTAACTGCTGGAAGTAGGTATTGGATAAGATAGTGGCTTGTGAACCAGTATCTATTAACCCTTTGAAAGGCTGGGGTAGCGAATCCTGTATTTCTACAGACATGTTCCTTCATGTTCTTCTAATTCACATAAGAAGTTAGAATGTGTCAACATATCACTCGTTTTCCATACGTTACCTGTCACAGCAGAGGTTTCTACCTGTACTGAGGAATGCTCAGTCTTACCCACAGGCCCATCGTTTTTAGGAATATCTTGAACTGTCAAGCGGGAACTAGTGGTCGGCATCTTATCAGTTAACCCTTTCAGGTCTGGATCCTGGAAACTAGTGGCTGCTGGGGCTGTTTTAGCCTTTGACTGAAATGAAAAAACAGAGAAACACGTTGCGCCTCCTTCACCCGAAAGTGAAGTGACGGTATAGGCAATAGGTTTTCTTACACAACTATTGTTTGTTTGACTATTAGTACCTGGAAAGGAAACAGGGTTAGGTATTACATCTACTGACAACCTAGCCTGTTTAGTCACAGTGGCTATTATTGCTGCGGCACCTGTTGTTGTTGCTGCAATTGCACAGGTGGCTCTGCAATTGGAGCTATCCTTAAAAAAGGATTTCTGGCAAAGACTTGATTAATCTTTGTAATTTCCTCCATTAATTTGCCCATCTGGTCTGTCAATTGACCAACCTGACGACGCAAATTATTTCCCCCATTGCCGTTTTGTCTTTGCCCATTAGAATTTGGCTGGGATGGCTGAGACTGTTGGGAGTTACTGGAAGCAGATTGGTTATTTCTGTTTCCATATCTCCTATTTCCCTGAGGATTCCTTCTCCATTGGGAATTGCCTTGGTTCTTATTAACCCAGGGGCGTTTATTCCCATTGGCATTGGATTTTTCAGAGTTATTAGAGGAATTTGCAGAATTGCTTCTGGCGTTTTCCTGTTTCTGAGGTTTTGGTGTTTTCAAAACCTCGGAATAGGTCCTCTTTTTCTGTTGGGTTTCTAAACCTAACTGCATTTTAGTCTCTGACACCATTTTATCACCAGGTTTCTTAACCTTTGGCTGATTTTCGTCATGTGCATGGTGTATAGTATACAATTTCATGCACTGACTGACTAGCCATTCTAATGGTAACTTACAATCGTAATCTCTTGCGAGATTCATTTGTATGTTTACCGGCATGGCATGAAAATACAGATCTTTGAAGTCTGTGCTTTCATACCTGGGTTTTCTTTGGGCCACGGAGTATGCATTTTTAAGAATTATTAAAAATTCTCTGGGGCTTTGATCTGGACGGCACTTTAAGTTATAAAGCGCCTTCTTTGCAGAAGCAATGGTTTTATACTTACTATATTCCATGATTATTTCATATTTCATCTTGGACCAGGACATTAACTGTATAGCTTGAAGACTTTCTAGATAAACACGACACATTGAATCAAAGGTCCATGTAATGAACCATTTCTTATGAATGTCATCATACATGCCCAATGAATTCATTGCTCTATCATAATTTTCCAGATGTTCAGATATGTTTCCTGAACCTCTAGAAAATTGTGGGACAGTCTCTCTAAGGAATTTAATAACCTTTGGTGTTTCATAAACAGGCATCGTTGATTTACGACCTCTGTTTCTGTGTTTGGGTAAACGTCTATGAGATCTGTCTGCTGAAGAGGAATTAGACCCGTACAACAGTGCAGATGGCATATCAGTTACATGGCCTTCAGAGTGGACAGTGCAATCACTTTCACTCCCATCACTCTGAGCGTCACGTTCACTGTCACAATTCTGATCTGCATCAGAGTTCTGCCACTGTACAGCACCATGTCTGTTTTCATTCCTATCACCTTGAATCTGATTCTCCCTCTCAAGTTTGGCCAAGACAGCTTTTTCAAACTGTTCTGTCCAAGATTGCCAAGAATCTACAGTAATTTCTCAGAATTACTCACATCTTTACTTACAGACTGTTTTATGAAAACCTGGTCTGGTGTGGGAAAATCATAATAAGGAGGGGATTTACAGATAGTCCTTTCTTGCATTTTTGTGCCACTTTTTGGCACACAATGATGACTATTAACCTCACTGTCTAATTTCTGACTCTCCTCTTCATACTCATCCAATTGCATTTTAAGCTGGTTTATTTCCTGTGCATATTTATCCGTCAAAGCTTTCATTTCTTTTTCATGATCAGCCTGACGAGTTTTATGCTCAGCTAGTAAATCTTGGTATTTCCCATTTTGAATGCCCAGATCGTCACTGTACGTGTCCAATTTGGCATTCAGTGACTTGTTTTCATCTAACACCTTAAGAAGTGCTGTCATAAAGAAAGGCCAAGAGTGTATTATGAAAGCCATTTTCCTTTCTATGTTCTTTTGTTCAGCAATTTCTTTGATATGTTATTATGTGTTCATCACTTAGAATGGTGTGTTTAGCTTCCCATTCTATGCTTTTCAACCAAACCTCATAGGTTGAATCATTTTTCATATGTTTATGAATATGAACTAGAGCATTTTTTCTTAGGTCTTCAATTATTTCAGTATTATCTCGTTACAAATGTATCGCTGCCGCTGGTCATTTTTTAAAAATTTTATACACTAATTTAATCTCAATACAAAACTCTTTTCTATATCAAGATTAAATTGCATGAATTACACCAATATTATTATATATGAAATATAATTTCAACTTAAACGATCTCAGCAGTGTGCCTCCAATATGTGGGGATATTTATGGGATAATAATAGTAAACAGTGAGAATTGCCCACTAATTCAATTCTCAGATCCCAAAGATCGTTATCGTGTAATTTGAAAAGTATTTCATATAAATAAAATCACAATATGTTATAAAAATAGATTTATTTTATAATAACCAATAATTAACAATAATATTAGACAACATGCATGATAATAATCAGCTAGTATTTAGTACAACATAGTATACAATACAATGGAATGGGTATACACGTTTCAATGGCTAAACAGCATTTTCTGTCAAGACTTACACGATTTATGAGGTATCCTTACAGACAAAGAAAGCGAAGCTTTTCACAGCGAAGGGCCATAAAACCCTGGCTAACAGTTAGATCAACTGAATAACCCTTTCAATGCTGGCTAGATCCTCCTAGGTAATTAATATCTATTCCTATGTAATTTTAAATAAAATAACATTTGAACCAGCTCATTAGTCATTTCCTGGAACCATCCAATAAGAGAATCTACCATGTTTTTTCACAAAAGCCGAATTTAATTTGTCTAAAAGATATCTTATCTTATATTAGAGCAAATCAATACACCTGGATAAAAACAGCGGTATGCTAACATGTGATACTATCACATTAATATATAATTATTCTTAATTCCACCTGCAGAATGGAATGTTTATAACTATATATTCTTTAGTTAAGTAAGATTTCTAAATATGGAAATCTGACCGTGATTTATCCAGTCATATATCATGCTATTAGAAAATTTTAATTAATTTAATGAATTAAATGAAACCAGTATAATTACCAGTTGAGTAGATATTTCATCAGATTGGTAGGTAGTCTCAGGAACTTATTTGGATGTCTCTCTGCATGGAGGTGTGTAGGAATTTCTGAGTGTCCTAGAGTGTCATTGCTCCCGACTGCTCACTTCTTTGCTTCCTTTGCATACCCTTGCATTCCTCGCCTACCTTCTTCTTCTTCTCTCTTCCCTTTGTCTTAACTTTTTAAAGGGAAAATTCACTAGTTGATAGACCAATAGGAACACTGGAGGTGTGGTTACCTTCCAGATAGCAATTTAGTATTTGGTCTATAGAGGGCAGTCTTGTCCCACTAAACATACCTATCCAGGAAAGAGTTAACTTTTCTTGGTGGCTATTTTGACGTCATTTATCTTTATGGTTGCCATAACTTACGTTTTCCTTCACTTCAAAGGGTTTTCTCTTAGTTTTGTCCAGACTTAGTGTCTGCAATTCCTGCTATAATTTCTAATATGACAGTTCGTAAACTAAGTTTCACCTTAAACTACAATGGAAGGTTATACAATATAAAAAGTAAAATTAAATTATTTAATCTTCTCTGTCACAAATGTCTGGGTTTAGAATTGATTATATTCCATTAGCATTTAGACAGTCTGTCCAACCCCGGTTCTCCTTATCACTTGGTTTGTATATACTATGCATTCTTTTAGCTCTGGGAAAGTGGTTAGTTTTACAGATAGAAATCTTGTGTCTTTTGTTAGCGTTAAAATAACAAAATGGAGTCTGCTCTGTTCAAAAGTGACTCAGCATATACACTTTTAATTTCTATCATAGCACAAGATGTCTGCTGATATAAATACCCTGACAGTACAAATGAACTGATTTATTATGGCTAGGTTGCCTGCTTATATACACAGCCCCCTAGTAGGTGGCCTCCATTCAATACAAGACAATCCCCTCCCTCTGTGCCTGGGAGATAATTGCGTTAAAGATCAGTAAGCTATCTCCCAGGAACAGAGAAGCACACACAAAAATATAAAACATAAAAATACCCCAAAACATCATAAAAATATACAATAACCCCACAAACAATACATCCCCAAATACCCCTGATCTGAGCGCCCAAGTTCTCCAAATAGTGCTCAGATCCATACAGTGTAGGGGAAACACCACCGTGTTAAAGTGTTGCCCGGCCGCACACATGGTCCTATGCCCAAAATAGTTCTAGGGCATTTAGTGCTTTTGCCGGTCAACTTTCATGAGCAATACAGGGTGCTCTGCCTGGCTCGCAGGTAGTGTTTGTGCCCCTTAGTCTCAGGCACCTTCCCTTCAAAAAGCACTCTCCTGTCGGGTTGCAAATTCGTTCAAAACCCTGGACCAAGTTGTCCAGGAACTGCATGTTTACCTCATGGCGAAATTAGTTCCACAACATTCGTGGCTAAGTACCGCTGGGGTGACCGGGGAACCACGAACTCCTCATGCTGAAATTAGTTCCATAGTGGTCACGGCTAAGTACTCTGCCAATTAGCGGCACCCCTGCCCAATGCTTCCTCTTTCAAGAATCTGAGCAGTGGAAGGACAGAGCAATAAAATGCTGTATATGGGACTTTGAAGCTAAACCAGGCGTCTGGAACTTCATGGCGCCATAACAACTTTTTCCAATAAAGTTCTTATGGTGCCCAGATTGTTCCTCTAAAGTGACATTGTCACTTGTGGGGTCTTTGACGTTTCTATTGGAAACACCCTAAAGGTAATCTGTCTGCTTGTGTGGAGGTAGCCCGAGGGGATGCTATGCCTTTTTTCAGCCATACCGCTTCAGGGCCTGGTGGCTTCCTCTGACAGGAGTCATTGTCACTATTGTAGCACATTTGCAAATTTAATAAATCTTCCATAAATAGAACAATAAACTACCATAAGCTTCACATATTGCCAAAGGTTGCAAATTACATTTGGCAAAGTAGTCTCTAAATATCTTTGATTCTGACACAGTGAAAAACTGAGAGAGCCACTTTAATGAAATATTTTATGATTATAAGTTTTTATGGAAGATTAGAGAGGGAATACTACTTTATCAAGGTTGTTGACTAAACTTTGATGTGTGAAATGTTTATTTATAGACATGAGTCAGTTTTCAATACAGATTACAACTCTTTATTAACTATGAAAGCAGTCTAACAGGGTTAGTCACTGTGAATAAGTGAGAATTCAAAGTGAATTTTAAATTTAAAGGTACACTCGAGACCCCTAAAACACTTTAGCTTGAAGAAGTGCTTTCAGTGTGAAGTATCCTTTTTTCCATTTTAAAATATATGCAGATTTCAATAGAAATTGGAATTTTATAAATTAACCTTGTTACAGTCCTTGGCTGTCAGTCAAACAGCCAGTCCGGTTACTTGCTAGTTGTTTAGCTCAGCGGAGCTAAACTCAAGAGGCAGGCAATTGTTCAGAGCACTTGTCTTGCAAAGACTACTAAAAGAGACTAGACATATGCCACTTTCAATACCCTAGGTTATCTACTTTTGGTATGCCATGATGGGGGGTAATTCTCATTCCTGGGCTTCCATACAGTTTAAGTCAACATAAGCAATATGGCAAATTTCAATGTGTAAAAACTGAAATGGGCAAGGCTCAGATTTAACCCTGTAACTTTTTCAAAACCCCATAAAACCTGTACATGGGAGGTACTGATGTACTGTACAGACTTAGATGAACATAAATATGAGTGTTTTAGAGTAGTAAAATGTACAATGATATCATCATGCATGAAGGTACAGTTTTTGCATGAAAGATGCAAAAAAAAAAAACAAAAAAAAAAAAACTCCCACTAACTTGGGCAAGGGTTTGTGACTACTAGAAAAGACTGGACATAACCCATTTTGAATACCATGGGTTGTCTACCTTTGCAAATGGTTTGCCATGATGGCGGTAATTTTCATTCCTAGGCTGCCATAAGCAGTGGCAAAAGTTATGTAGAGAGGGCCCTAGTGCAAGGATTTTTGGAGGGGTTCATCTAGCATAAGCATGGCCAACAGATAAATCCCCATCTATTGTACAACTCCCACAATGCTTTTCCAGCTGGGGATCTACCTTGTGCCCACCCTTGCAGAGCTGTATTTGTGACCAGTGTTTGTGTTTAAATGTAGGCATGTTTTGTGTTTTTGAATGTATATACACATGTATGTGTAGTATTTTCACTTGAATGCAGTTGTATGTTGATATGTACTATTGCTATTTGAAAGCCGTGGTGCACTTGTGTGTAATATTTGTATATATAGTTGATGTTTGCTAGGATGTGTGCACATACACAATGAAACACAAATGTAAACAAACACATATACACACAAAGTTCACAATATATATTTATAGCCACCCCCTGCCTCCATAAATCTTTGGTACATGAGGGTGGTTTGTCTGGGAACAAGTGGCATTTGGCTGGATGTAATTGGAGTCTGGTCATCCCCTCTCTCCTGCACTGCTTGTTGGTAAGCTGGAAGGAAGTGACTAATACTCACTTCCTCCCAGCACTGCAGCTGTACACAGAACACAGAGCCCGACTGAAATGCTAAAGAGCTGCGGCAGCGCACGGGGACCCTGATCAAAAATGTCCATCAGATGGCCCTAAGTCTTTGGACCACCAATGGCCAAAAGAACTTGTGGGCCCTGGTTCAGTTGCACCAGCAGTAGATCCACCATTGGCCATACGGTCTCAACAAGGACCCATTAAACCAATCTGGCAAATTTCAGTGTGTACATACTTAAATGGGCAAGCCTCTTTTTTGACCCTGTAACTTTGCATAACACCAAGAAAATCGTACATGGGGGAGACCACAGAATACAAATATGTGTATCTAATTGCAGTAAAAGCTAAAATCATTATGACATTCACAGTTAAAATGCCATACAGAACATAATTTCTTAAGTGTTTTAAGATTTCATATGAAAGAGGTAAATTATGGATTAATTTACATATAGCTCAAATTCTAGGTTTTGTTTTGGTTAAAGTTGTTTTGATTCCCCCCCCCACTGGATTTTATAAATAATTTCATTGCACTGTATGTTTTTATATATTTATTTCCGGTTTCCTCTAAATATCAGCTCCGGGCTTTATGATCAGTTTTCTCTGTTCATTGTTGTGTTCTATTTTTTTTTTTTTTCTCAGTATTGTACAGTATACCTAGTGTCCAGTTTTAGTGTCCATATTTAGTACATTTTTCACATATCTACTTCCTAGTTTTGTTTTTTTGTTCCTTTTCTGACTATAGTTAATAAAATTGTTTTGATGTCTATACCATCTGCAAGACACTGTACAGGATACTGAATGTGTACATGAGCAATGTATTAACCTGTCAGCTCCTTAAACTCTCATAATTGCAGAAACATGCCATATCCCAATTAGGGTTTTATTTTTAACATACAAACGGTACTTCTACAAAAGTGAAAAGGGATTGATAAACAGTATGTTCATGTTATTACAGTGGTGGTTAGGAGTGGGGGAGTGAAGTAGCATTTTTGCAGTTTTTTACCTGTCCAGACAAGGATGAGGGAGGAGAAAGTAGGAGGCAAGTGGAAACCTGAAACTGGCCTAGCTAACAGCCAGTACAATGAGAAAACACAGAATGAGAGCGTATCATTATAAACAGTCGATTGCTCCAATCATCAGATTGCCAGTCTAAGCACTTCGGATGGCGTGTGCTTGGGACTTCCAGTTCCGTGTGTTGTTACTGGGAAACTCCGGGGTAGGAAAAACCTCTCTGCTCCGATGGTACACAGATGGCCAGTTCTCAGAAAGCACAGGGCAAACTGTAGGGGTGGATTTCTGTTCCCGAGTAGAGGAGCTGGAGAGTGGAATTAAAATCAGACTGCAGTTCTGGGACACAGCTGGCCAGGAGCGCTATCGGTGAGGTGGAGACAATTCTCTGTCAGTGTGATTACATTTTTTCAGCCAATGTACAAAAGTATGTTTATTTAGCTGTATGAAGAGAGAATGCCATCTTCTATAACACACTGATGTATCATTGCATATGCACAGAAGCACACTGCGAGCCTTTTAGCTTGCTTTTATTTGTACCAAAGTAAATTGCAATATTCCAAACCCTTTTCATTCTCATGCAAGCCTCTACATAAAAAAAAAAACAAAGTTACTTGTTATATGATTTAATCTCCATCCTATACGCTTGTCTCTAGGGCGGTTACACGCTCTTATTACAGGAATGCAGCTGGTGTTATTCTCCTCTTTGATCTTACTGCTCGTTCATCTTTTGAGAGTATAATGGAGTGGTATCAGGAGGTTAGAGATCGGACACGACCGCACCCTCTATTATTCCTGCTGCTGGGAGCAAAGAGTGACTTACGAGAGCAGCGAGTGATAACCAGAGAAGATGGACAGAGACTGGCAGATAACCTGAGAGCTCCATATTTAGAGACGTCTGCACGGACAGGCAGTAACGTCTCAGCTGCACTTTCTCTTCTGTGTCGGGAGCTACTCAAAGCAGCACGGGAAGAGCGACCACAAATGGAGCATTGGAGTGGGGAATGCCTTGCTGTGGAGGAGGACAAGGCAAAACAGAGAAATGGGTGTGCATGCTGAAAAGGCACATCTAAAGTCTCTTTACTAGGTATGTGACCATCTTTCTCTGCTATTTCCACTGAAGCATCATTTCATTCTGTAGACACAAAGCTATTGTGCAAGAGACTTTAAACAATTATTAACACCTCATTCTTCAACAATCTTATTCCTGTGAAGAAACAACTCTGTTGCTGCAAAATTAGAGGTCCCCTTTGCTGTTTCTGCATTGGCACCCCTAACACAAAGAACCTTCACAGGTATTGTTACTTCTGCAAACTTTACTAAAACACCCTTTTTATATACAAATATAAACAGAGGAGACTTTCACCCTTTTCCCTACCAGAGGGCTTTGTAATGCAGGGTTAAGAAAAGAAATCCACAGTGTGAATTAGTGGATTCTGTCTCACACACAAATCTCTTTTTGCTTGAGGAGACCATCTTCTTGCTTGCTGCACATTGAAGAAGTCCTTGTGGTGTGCAGATGAGGTGTGCAGCTGCAATGGGCTTCTACTTCTTTTGGGTTTTTTTAATTAAAGCCATTCTCTGAAATGCATAAAACAAAAATAAAGGGGTCAGAAAGGGATATATGGCTATATAAATATGAGAAAAAGATTGTAAACAATGATGTAAAGAAATAGTAAATATAAGTGACAAACCAGGTTGATATACAGACCGAAACAAAATAGATTTTATTTCACGAACAATATTAATGTGCAATTTAAAACTACTCATCACTAGAACAAAAACAGGTCTGCATTTACCTTGTCCCAAGGCAAATACATTTTGTTGTTGTTCCTTTAAAGAGTAAATTGATACCTTTTCTGTTACTGCCTATCTTCAATACATTGAGACTACATCGATATGGTCAAGTTTGTGTAACCAAATTTACAATGTTTATTGAAATGAGCAACATAGTCATAACGCATTGAGTACTCTAAAATACCATACATACATATAGTGTAGATTGGATTGGCTGTATTAGTCCAGTAGACAAGACTCCAAAATACCAGAGTATTGCACTATGCAATGATACTTTATTAGACTAACAGAATACTTAAAAGATAAGCTTTCAAGAGTATTCCTCTCTTCCTTAGGTCTGAAGCAAATAGGAAAACTAGTATTATGTTAGCCCAATAAAAAAAAAAAATATATATATATTATTGCATACTACAAAATGGTATTTTGATATCACATCTCAAAAAATAGTGAAAGGGTTACTATATGCACCATGGCCACTTCAGTGTTTTGTTTTCTAATTTTAAATCTGTGCATTATTACCATTTTTACAAAAACTTTCTTTTTGGTTGAAATAACCCTTTACGTTGTGATGGTTGAGTTGGAGAATATTTCCAAATCAGCTTCCATTTGACTCAGTTTTTCCATTGGATTTAATTAACAAATGTTCATTTAGTGAATAACCCTGAAATTGCCTGCTGAAAAGAAGTGTTTTACTTTAATAAAATGTATAGGTGTGATTTTGTCTTAAGTCACATCAGAGCACTAGAGAATTGGGTACTAATCCCATCCATTGAAATGACATAACTGATGTAATGGTTCTCCTTTAGATTGATATCTGAATATTACATATGCTCTGTGTTCCTTCCAGATATACATGATTACCCTTTGAATGGGAAGATTTACAAGAAAAACCTTCAAGACCGTATCTCGTACGGACGCTACTAAAGGAGAGCAGACATTTGTGATTCAAGTTAAATTCTCCAAACACACACCTGTAGTGCTGCTTCAAGAGTAAAATTCTGAAGTCAAAAAGCAGGAAAGAATTCAAAAACCCTAACTTCACCAGGCCATATTCCAATTTAAATAAATAAAAAGCCACCTCTTGCAAACACAGGTTGTCGACTTCCTTCTTAACATCATGTGTACATCAAGCAGATAGCATAAATAAGATTTACCTGTTTGTGTGCCTCTGTTGTGCATGCCTTTTTATATGGCCGGATTTCTTCAGACCCAAATCCTGGAATCCACATATTCCACTGCCGTTCTTAAATAAATAAATAATAATAAAAAAAAATATCATATTCAAAAAGAAAAAAAAAAAATCACTTCCAAGTATTAATAAACAACAAATGTGCGCAACGCTTGGCAGCATAAAAGTAAAAAAGATTTCAATAGAAATTGGCAATTTTATACATGAACCTTGTTACACCCACCTGGCTTTCAGGCAGGCAACAGACTTCCTTTGTTTGTTTAGGGCAGTGGAGGTAAATTCAAGAGGCATGTAACAGGCTAGTGCATCTGCCTTGCACAGTTGTCTTACTGAGCTGCATTGGAAAGTCTGATGCACTAAACAGTGATTTTTTTTTATTTTTTTTATTTTTTTTTTTATTTGGCAGTGGAGTGTCCCTGTAAGTCTGAATTGCAAAAGTAACTAAGCTGTGACTGGGTGGACACAATATACCTTCTTCCTGTAGAAGATTGTGTTAAGGGATGGGGGGGGGGGGGGGGGAAGCTAGTGCAAAACTATGGGGGATTATATTTAAAGGAACAGTGTATAGTGACAGGAATACAAACATTTATTCCTGTCACTATAGTTATGAAAACACATTTTAAGATGCCCTCCTGACATCTAGCTGCAGTGCTGACCCAAGAAGCACCTCTAGTAGCCATCCTAGTGACTGCTACTAGAGATGTTACTAGGCAGCAATGTAAACACTGCCTTTTTTCTGAAATACATTAAATACATTAAGCTGTGCTTGATCTGGTGACTCCAGTGTCCCTTTAATGAAAGTTATTTTTTTGACTGATGTATATTGATATATTTTTTTTTCCCCCACTTAGATTGATCAGCAGTTGGTTAGATAACAGTAATTTTTACATTTGTTATTATGCTGCTAGTAGTCAGTCAGTTTAGGACCTTCTAGAGATGACTTGCAGTAATTGAAGTCTTTATGTTCAACGTTGTGTTGCTCAGCATGATGACACAGAACCATTCTTTTCATAGAGAAGCATTGGTATAATATTTCACTATGAGGAGCATCTGGATGGAGCAGTGCAGTGACTGCCATGCATGCACAGTAGCACCCCAATGCTATTTTGTGTGAAGTATTGGATTGGCATGAGATAATCATCAACGATGATCTCACAGCAAATGGAGTGATTGCTCTAATGAGTCTGGACAGTGTTGTTTAATTTTTTTTTAATCTGCTCAATTTAGGCATTTAAAGGGACACTCCACTTCCCAAATGGTGGTGAGGACGGGGATTACAAATCATTGTTTAGTAGATATGCCACCGATGGATACCTGCATGCATTATTTCATTGGGGTATATATTAACAGACTTTGCAAAAGCTACAGTTTTTATAAACTGCAGACTTTAAAACCCTCCCCTATTTCCCCTGAAGCAGTGGTTCTCAAACTAGTTCTCATGGCCAACCAACAGTCCAGGATTTATGTATTTCCCTATTTTATTATAATGGAGATCCAAACAAAACCTGGACTTGGGTCTTGAGGATTGGTTTGAGAACCACTGCAAGAGACTGACCGTATCTTCACGAGGAATTAGCCTATCAGAAGTTTCTCATTAAAAGGCCTCTGAAGCTTGAGAGTGCCTCACAATTGTTAGCTCAGGGGGAGCTAATGGTCGCAGGAGGCAAACATCCCTGGCTGTCGGTTATTTCTAATTCATTCTAAAAGTGCATTTAAAATGGGATACTTCTCACTCACAAAGCACTTCAGCAGGCTCAAGTGCTTTATGGGTGTGGAGTGGTCCTTTAATTATAAAAGGAACACTAACATTTTGAACCAATATATTATTCATAACATTGGAGTAATCCATTTAACCATAAGCTTCAGGGCAAGCCCTTTAGTAATAGGGAAAAAAAAAAAAATTAAACAGCACTGTCCAGACTCGTTAGAGCAATCACTCCATTTGTTGTGAGATCATCATTGATGATTATCTCATGCCAATCCAATACTTCACACAAAATAGCATTGGGGTGCTACTGTGGATGCATGGCAATCACTGCACTGCTCCATTCAGATGCTCCTCATAGTGAAATATTATACCAATGCTTCTCTATAAAAAGAATAGTTCTGTGTCATCATGCGGAGCAACACGACGTTGAACATAAAGACTTCAATTACTGCAAGTCATCACTAGAAGTTCCTAAACTGACTGACTACTAGCAGCGTAATAACGGACAAATGTAAAAATTACTGTTATCTAACCAACTGCTGATCAATCTAACTTTCCTGCTGCTGTAATGACTCTGTATGCTCTAAGTGAAAAAGCAGCCGACACGAAAAGAACTTGACCCAACATGTCTGCTTGGCCTCATGAGTGGGAAATAAAATATATATATCAATATACATCAGTCAAAAAAATCTGTTTCATTAAAGGGACACTGTAGTCACCAGATCAACTACAGCTTAATGTATTTAATGTATTTCAGAAAAAAGGCAGTGTTTACATTGCTGCCTAGTAACATCTCTAGTAGCAGTCACTAGGATCGCCACTAGAGGTAATTCTTGGGTCAGCACCGCAGCTAGAGGTCAGGAGGGCCAGTATCTTAAAATATGTTTTCATAACTATAGTGACAGGAATACATGTTTGTATTCCGGTCACTATACAGTGTTCCTTTAAATGTAATCCCCCATAGTTTTGCACTAGCTTTTTCCCCCTTTGTTAACACAATCTTCTACAGGATCAATGTATATTGTGTCCACCCACCAAAAAAGTTTAACAGCATCAGAGTGCACAATATGGAAACCACAAGACATTTGAGCAATGTATGCTTTGTAATGGCAGGTCTCAGGCTGTGATTGAGCAACACTTGTTTGGGGTAGAAAATCATTGCATTTATTAAATTATATATGAAATACTTGGAAAAAAAATCTGAAGAATTTTAAGTGAAAAGCAAGTTGAAAGACATTTGATATACACACCAAGATGAAGTTGTACATCTTTCACTTCTAACGTGTTTGATCGACGGTGTCGCGCCAACTGACAGGCTGCCGAGACTACACTCTCTATGAAATCATCTGCTATCTGCAGGAGCATCTGTAATTGGAAAAGAAATACAGATATCCCTTGATGTATCTTTGAACAGAACAGAGAGAATTCTGTTTGTGCACTTCCCATGCTTCGCTTACCTCTTCCACATCTTCATCCAGCTGTTCATTAGGGTCTATCTCTCTGACCAGGTCGTGGAGCTTCTTCTTTGTTAGAACCTAAAGAAAGATCATATTGACATATTACTTCTGCAGAGGACAAAAAATAAAATAAAAAGATCAGTTTTCACAGTCATGTGAATTTCTCCCTTAAAGAGGACTTCACGTGGTTAATCTATCACAGGAGTGCCCAAAAGGTAGATCACAGACATTCTAGAACTACAAATCCCATTATGCTTGGTCATCCTTTAGATTGTCAAAGCATCATAGATATTATAGTGTAAAAAATGTGGTGATCTAACGGTTATGGTTCTATAAGTTAATGATGTTATAAAATGGTTTTCAATCAGTTTGGTAAAAAACAAACAAACAAAAAAAAAACAACAGGTTATTTCCAAACACTAAAAGCCACCCCCAAAAGGCTCCATTCATCTTGAATAAATACAGTTTCAAATATTCCAGGTGAATAAATAGAATGAGATACTTTTTTGTGTTCCTGGTACAGGGGTGAGACTTTAGGTTTTCATAAAGAAATGTTGCACAAGCAGGTTAAAAAAAAACAAAAAAAAAAAAACAATAACACATATGAAAGCATAGATAAACAGGATGGAGAGTATGAAACGGTAGTAATAGCAGTTCTGTCAATTTTAGCAGGACTATTCACTAAAGTAAGAATTGTCCGGAATTCAAAATTAATTTCAAACTTGAGGCCAAACTAACCATAGTGGAAAAGCTTTTCAAGACAGCTAATGCTTCCAGTGCAGCTACTTTGGCCTTAGATGTTAAATTCACATTGAATTCCCAATAATTCTCACTTTAATAAAAAAAGGATGTCATTAAGATATACACTCAAGGTTATTTATTAACTACTCATACTGAACGAATTGCAACACAATCCAGTATTTTCATTTACAGGTTTTTGGCAGGCAAAGTCAGTCATAGTATTTAAATTAGGGAACTCTTGCAATAGCCGACTAGAAGTCCCTGCAATGTGTAAGTGCAGCAGAGGCAAGTAGATTTTTTTTTTTTTTCTGTTTACCACCCCTCTGTTATTCACCCCAGTAAATTATGTAATGCAGCATTAATTTTGGGAAGTAACAAGAATCTTCAACTTCTCAGGAAGTTCCACTTTAAGAAGAGCAAACTACTGAAACCTCTCCCAGGTCGATGATCAGAATTATCATTACATTATAGGTACAAATTTTGTCAAACCTGTTTTGTGAAATTGCTAGAAAAGCAATTTCACAAAGCCTGCACTTTAACAGCTTTGCTCCATATTTCTCTCGATAAGCTCTAGTGATTATGGTGCTTGACTGACCCATAAAGCTTTCTAATATTCTACTCACTTGATTGGCATCTGGACTTGTACGTCCGCCTCCTGCTGCTGCTGTCCCTGGCACTTTGACCCCTGGAGTACTGTTGGCAACAGTCTGCTCTTGCTTCACAGCAACAGATGTGGACATGGTAGTGGTGGAGGGGTTAAAGGTGGACAGATTGATCAGTGTGGACGCACCGAATTGGTTCATAATCTGGAGAGCTTTCCCACGCAGCTCACCCAAACGGGATACGTCTGCACGCTGCTTTGGTGTGTGTGGACCTGGGCCAAGAAGCTGTGGGTGAAGTGAAACAAATAGTGACTCTCATATTACTATTATGTATGCACGCATTCTGCTGAGGACAAAACTAAACAATTAAATATCTTCTGAAAGTTGCCCTTTTAAAACAACAAATGTACAAAGACCTCATGGAGCAACTAATCTCCGTAAGTAAATGCTAGGACACTATTTGAAAATAAATAAAATTAAAGGGACTCTATATGCGCCCAGACCACTTCATTTCAATGAAGTGGTCTAAATGCCATGTCACTGAAATTTTTATCCCTGAAGGGTAAACACTGCCTTTTCAGAAACAGAAATGATTTCATTGCAAGGTTTAAATGCCTGTAGTGGCTGTGACTCTGTGGGATCATTGAACTTGAAATCTCAATCAAGGAGGTGGAGCTTCCCCAACAAGAACAACACGGCAAGGGCAGAAAGGCAAGTAAAGCTCACCGTTCAAGTCTTCACATAGCAAGGAAAACAGTAAGCTGGTAAACAAGAATAGAACGCTATAGTGTTTCTTTAAAGTGATCCAAGTTCTTTCATTTTGAGACAAACATTTTCACAGAGTTTCACCCGAAGCAAAGGAAATTAAAAATTTTTTTTAAAGATCCTCGTTTGTACATTTGAGCTAACCATGTCATATTCTCCAACCAAATATTGAGATTTGAATATACAAAGTCATCTAGGATTGGTGGCCATGCTTCCCATGTAGTGTAGCCTTCCTATTGTCAGATGACAGGAATAGAAGGTTTACTCACCACATTGTAGTAAAGTGAAAAACAAATTGCAAAATTTGGGCCAAAAAAACAAATAAAAAAATCCATGCATTTTGTGGCTACTTATGTCTTCTATGCCTCAAAGATTGACATGAGCATTTAAAGATGCTGGCTTGGACATAACAGTTAAAACATTTCTGTCCATTTTCCCCAGACCTCTCTTCACCTACAGAACCACTGCCTATCGGATGTTTGTTTTTCTGTAAATTCTTAAGATTAAAAACAAATTTTTACTCACTGTACATTTTTTTTTTTTTTTTTAATATGGTGGCAGTACATATGGGTTGTGCTTCCTAACTGGGACAAGCATCTGCAAGATAGGTGAGTAGGAAAGGTCCCTCCCTTTACCCTGTAAAGGGCTTCCCCTGGCAAATCCACCTCAATCGTAGCAAGAATACACACCTAAGCCACACACTGAAAACAAAATTGTAATTTAGAGGGAGGGAGATTTGTACTGCCACCATATTAGGAAAAAACGAATTTACGGTGAGTAAAAATTTCAGTTTTTTCTGACATATGGTGGCAGTACGTATGGGATATGGCAAGATTCCCAATCGGGTGGGCCTTATGCCTAAACAGCTTGAAGTACCTACGCCCTTACACAGTTTTAAAGGCATAGAGAGTACATCTAGCCTGAAAATACCTGACATTTTTAAAGTGCTAAAAGCTGACCAGGAAGTAGCCATGCTGATTTCTTCGGGTGAAGCAAGCGCTTTTCTCAGCCCACAAAATGGCCATTGCTTTTGTGAAATGCGCTGTGAAAGAAGCTGGTGAATCAAAACTACTGAAGCATAGGCCATAATGATTGACGAAATAACAAGAAATAGAATTACGAGAGACTTCATTCCCCTTAAAACTTCACTCAATGTTGACAACAGGTGATCTGATTTTTTTTTACTTTAGAATATGCCATCTAGTTCCAGCGGGGAGGTGGCATAATTATAGAAGGATGAGCCGATTAACGGTACTAAAAGATAACTCTGGAAGAATTGAAGTTTTAGAATGAAACAACTTCCACGCTGATGGAATATAAGTAATTCCACTGAAGAGGATATATCCTAAAGCTCGCCTACTCTCTTGGCTAAGGTAATAGCCACTAAGAATGCTGGTTAAGCTACAGCATATTAAAAGGAACCACTTACAAAGTAAAATGGGACCTGAAAGACTGAAAAAATTCCCAGGAGGGAAACTGAACTTCTTTGGTGGCCTAAGAAGCCTATTGCTTTCAAGAAACTTCTAACCAGAATGTATGAAAGACCAAACCCTTCTCAGAAAGAACTTAGGGAATACAATTTAGTCTTAACGTGAAAACGCCCAACCTGTGGAAATCTCCTGCAGGAAGTGTCAATTTGAACCAACCAGACAAATGAACTAAAAGACAATGACGTTCCTTCCAACAATGCAGAGACTCTACCCAAATCCTCATGTAAAAGTTAAAGGCGAAACAACTAGAAGATTATACGCAACAAGTGGACCCTGACTCTTAAAGACTCAGGAGATGAAGGATCCACCATGCAGTTGCCCTACCGTCAATAAGAACCTATTCAACACTTCCAGCAAGATATCCTGACTTCCAAAAGTGTTTGAGATCAGAAGTTCCCCAAAACTTGAAAGTCATCTCCACCAAGGCCAAAAACTGGCTCATGTTTGGCCAGTACGGAAAGATTGGCAGAACCACTGCTCTGTCCGTTCACCTTTTTTGAAGAAGTCTTGGAAACAGTCTATAAGAGAAAAAAATGTAAGCCCGGAGAATACCCTTAAATAGACCAACTATTCAACGTGAACTGTCCTGTACAGAGAGGCAAACCTGAGAATCTACATGTTCACCCTCTCTGCCATAATGTCTATCCGGGCACTCCAGATCTATCTGTTGACCATTACTCTTGATCCCAATTTCTTGTGCTGAGGTTGTAGGTGATGACATTTTTGACACATCATGCGTGGAATGCCTGTCCGTTGACGTGAGGGAAACAGTGTTGTGGTCTGACCGCATTTTAATAGGTCCCTCAATCAACCAAGATCTGAATCGGTGAGGGGAGTGAAGAACTGCCTTAAGAGCTCTAAAATTAGAGGACTATTTTTCTTTGGACCAAGAATGCTGGCACATTAGAGAATTTAAATGAGCGACCCAGCCTGTGTTAGAGAAGTTCTGTGGTGAAAATTACTCCCTCTATAGGCTGAAAGGACGGACTTGTCGGAAAAAAAAAATGTGTTGTCCACCAGTTTAGCCGATCATCTGCTTTTTTCGAAGAGAGTCTAGGAGGCAGAAATACAAGATTTCCACACTTTGACCCAGAGGAGAGAATTTTCCACTGTAGCAGCCAAATCCAGATTTTGCCCAGTTGACCGCAGGAATTGAAGATGTCAGACATCCCAGCAATCTCATTTCCTGTTCTTATGGAGGAATTTTTGCTTTATTAGTAATTGCACCTTTTCTTTAAGAGTGCAGTAGATGCAGATAAAACGTTTTAAGGTTAAAGAAACACTATACTCACCTAAACAACTTTAACTTAATAAAGCAGTTTTAATGTATAGATCATGCTTCTCAGGTTTCACTGTTCAATTCACTGCCATTGAGGAGTTAAATCACTTTGTTTCGGTTTATGCAGCCCTTGCCACACCTCCCCTGGCTCTAATTGACACAGCCTGCATGAAAAAATAAATGGTTTCACTTTCAATCAGATGTAATTTACTACAGTCACCAGAACAACTACAGCTTATTAAATTTGTTCTGGTAGAATCATTACCTTCAGGCTTTTTGCTGTAAACACGGCTTGTTTCAGAGAAAATGCAGAGTTTACATTGCAGACTAGTGATAACTTCACTGGCCACTCCTCAGATGGCTGTTAGAGATCCTTCCTGGGTCATTTCTGCCTAAAATGCATCCAAACATTCAGTGTCTCCTCCTTCTGCATGCAGACACTGAACTTTCTTCATAAAGATTCATTGATTCAATTCATCTCTATGAGGAGATGCTGATTGGCCAGGGCTGTGTTTGAATTGTGCTGGTTCTGCCCCTGATCTGCCTCTCTGTCAGTCTCCGCCAATCCTATGGGGAAGCGTTGTGATTGGATCAGGCTACCACTTCTGATTAGGTCAGCAGGCAGGTCTAAAGGAAACAGGGACAAAGTAAGCAGCTGCAGACTTGAATACAAGGTATGATTTTACTATATTTAGGGAGGCATAAGGGGACCAGACAGGCTAGATGGTGGTTTTAACCCTATAGGGTAAGGAATACATGTTTGTGTTCCTGAACCTATAGTGCTCCTCTAAACAATTGTATCTCTTTCTCTGTAAACTTAACTTTAAACACATACAGGAGACCCTTGCAGGGTCTAGCAAGCTATTAACATAGTAGGGGATAAAAAAAAATCCAAATTAAGCAGAACTTGCAATAAAGGAAGGATAAACTTTAGATGACCCTTTACAGGAAGTGCTTAGGAAGGCTGTGCAAGTCACATGCAGGGAGGTGTGACTAAGGTTCATAAACAAAGGGATTAAACTCTTAAATGGCAGAGAATTTAGCAGTGAGACTGCAGGGGCATAATCTATACACCAAAACTGCTTCATTAAGCTAAACTTGTTTTGGTGACAATAGTGTCCCTTTAACACGAACAAAAAAAAAAAACCCGGTGTGTCCTGGAGAAGAAGAAAAAACATTATAGTCTCTGCATCCAACAGTGTTGCTGTAGCGCTCTGCTAGCTACCTGGACATACTTAAAGGGCAACCGTCCTGATTAACAATAAGACCATGACATCTGATCTACAAACACCATGAAATTCCTTTCTGCAGAATCAGATGTTTTGATTCTGAACCTCAAGAGAGGAACCAATTAATTTAAATTCAAAACCGGTTTGAAAGGAATGATCAGAGTTTGATAACCAGGAAGGAACCCAATGAACTTCGTGGTTCACAGAACCATATCTCAAACTCCTTGAATCCAACATGAACACTGTTTCTGTAAATAGAGTATCAGATGTTCGGAAGATTATGGATTGGGCAGATTTAAAAAGAGCAAGCAGGTTCTACTTTAAAGCCAGGCAAGAGACAGGTGTATACGGTTTCCCAAATGCATCATGTGAATGTTAAGACACTCCATTGAATGGTACTCCAGTCATCTACCCCAAAGGGATGAAGGGCTGAGACAACCCTGAAGGGAAATTAACCTGTGAACCCTATGGGCTGAACAAGCTCTAAACCCACTGAGCTATCCACACTTCATATAGAAATGCAGAATTACAGTATACAGCTCTTTGTGTTGTAATATCGCAATAACTTTCTTTGTTATCGTTGTGTTGAACCTCTGCTTACTAACCTGTATGTACAACGTAAAATGAAAAATAAAGATAGTCAAAAAAGAAATGCATTCTACATACACACAGTTGCCAGAGGGAACACCCACAGGGGTTTGAAGTACAACCAATCAATACGCAACATACATTCTGACACTCCCACACAAAATCCTCCCCTCTGCCTATGATACATTTACCTTACACAATGGGTTAATGTAATTATCACAGGCAGAGAAATACAGTTTTTACAAAATATTAATAACTTCCAAAATATACATGCCATTCACACAAAACATACATTTTCAGAATCAGCATACTTTAAAGTTAAAAAGTTAAGGGAAAGTCCTATTTGACCGACCACAAGCACATATTCATGCCCAAAAGAGTTCCATAGATTTGGGCTGTGCAGTCGGTCCATTTCACACAGAAAAATGTCTAAGTTTCATTCGAATGCATGTCCGGGCAAATAGCCTAGTCTAACAGTGCGTTCGAATTGTCGAATGCACTTCGATTCCAGCCGAAGCGTCGAAGTTCATTAGAAGGTAAGGGTCAGCAGTATTCGTGCAAATGTGTAGCCGATTTAGGTTCCATAGATTCAGTGGCACGCACCACTGACCGCATTCAACTAAATTAAAATGGCCGCCGCCACGTGTTCGGTTTTCAAATGTCGGCCACTTCAACTACTTCGGCACTTCGACTGCATCCGAAGTACCAGTTTAAAAGTACAAATCCTTTCTCTGGGAGTTAAATGGCCAGCAGCAGAACAACAAAAATCCATTATGCCCAAATCCTGTATTGAAAGGGCCAAACCTCCCAGGGACCATAATCACATGGCAAGAGGCTGGCAAGTAGTCCTCTCCAGGCACAAGTGGCGATGTTAATTTCGCCACACTTCTGAATTCAGAATTTTATGGATTCCCAGTGTACCTGGAGGTGTAACATTTACCCATTTGATAACAACATTAAACGCTGGGCAAGAAAGGCTTGTTACACATAGTGTTCCCATTTTTGCATATAAGAAAGACATGGGGTTTGAGGAACAGATAACCCTCATTAAAGTTTAGCAGATTTATCCTGCCCCATGACCGATTAATTCCTAATGAACGACATTGGGAACCCTTCTGACAAGCTTCCTGTTGCCAGAGGGAACACCACAGCGATCCGCACTCGGCGGTTTCCCACTGCTATAGTGCACCCGGAACTTCGGTGGAACGCCCGGGCGTGTGTTCCGCAGCTATGCGCAGGCGCATGGCCTGCAACATAATGAAGGTGACCCCCCCAGCCCACCCATTTTCAAGCCGGGAACATACTCGGCGCAAAGTTAAACAGAAAGGGCTCCAGAACCTCTACGGACAGAGCCATGTTGCTCAGCCTACCACCCGGGCGGCTATCTGGCTTCCTCCCCCAGACAGCAACCTGTGTTCCTCACCTTCAACAGACACTTGACCTGTCCTGTGCTGGGACAAGGAAGAACTGAGGTGTCCGGTAGTCCGCTGCCACTCCACGTCCAACAAACAACACATCCTGGTGAGGGGCAAGACGCCATTAGACTCTGAATCATCACAACTCACCTTCTACCAAGAAATAACCTGGAACACCCTACTCTGTAGATAGTCCTTGGGAGACTGCTCGACTACAGCAAGGAAAGTTAGAATACAGATGGCTACTACCAAAACACTGGCAGTTATCAGAGGTGACGACGTCCTGAAAATCTCCACTCTGTCAGAGGTCCCAGCCTTCCTCCAAAAACCGGGACTATCACTGAACACCCCAATGCTGAGACACCACCAACCTCCCATGAATGGGATCCAGACAGAACAGTTCCATTCATCCCCAGGAGTAATAGGAGGCAAGAGGCGGTGAACTGAACATGCCACAAAATGCATACTATTTGTCTCCATGTTCTTTTCTTCTCCTCTCTAAGCTAACCCTGGTGTTCTTTTTACTCCAAATTTAGCTACTGTTTCCCCTTGACGGACCACTGAGTGATACTACCACTAAAACAGGCCGTGACGAACCCCCTCCCCCCCCATGATCCCCTTAGGCTAGGTTTTGACACTACACCACTCACCACACTGCACACCTGTCACACAACCTCTGCTAAAAATCTAGCAAAGACCCTAGGCCTCAAATGTGGCACGAAAGCCAATTTATAATGGGACAACCATAGCACGGGCAGACTCGCCTCACTTGAAATTGAAAACGTGCACACACACTTCCACTGTTTTACTCCCGACTGAAGTAATACATGTTTCTTTCTAACATTGAGCATTCAACCTAGCAGCTGACAGTCATACTATGCTTGTTTCCTATGACTTAGTTCTACTCTTTATTAATGTGTACAATGTGTAAACAAGCCACAACCGAAGCCACTGTAATTGCTTGTGAGTGTGCTGTAGCATCATAAGTTTGCACGTTCCAACATAAATGCACGGAAAAATAAAGAATTAATAAGTGAACATATCTCCATGGAGATGGACAATGTACCCCATTTTTGGTATGGGCATTTAGGCAGAGTACAGCTTGTATTTTATAATCAATTAAAATCACAGAAACTGAGTAATAAAAGTAATAAAAATAAAATACTACCTCAAAACGGGGTAATGCAGTATAATATTACCCCTAAACTGGGTTATAGAGACGACCAGCTGTTTTCTGTCTAGGTTATGGTATTTGCACACACAGATTACAGATTATATATCTGCATAATTTTAATGTTATGGTATCTATACATATTTATAGCTGAACAAGCTCCAGGTTTTCATACCTACAGATTACTGTACTAGATACAATAAAACAATATGTTAAATCTGATTCTGTTACATAGAATTGAATAAAGAATGTATATTGATATTAAATTAATATCAACAATATATTATTCTTCAGTCCTATATGACAAACAGATTTAACAGATTTTTATTTATCTTGTTTTTTAAGTTATTTTTCTGTGCTTTGTTACTTTCAATAAAAGTGTGGTTATTTTATTGACTTGTAGTTGTTCATATTAGATTCGATAAATTAATTAAAAAGTCTAATATTAATAAAATTATAGAAAAAAACTTTAAAATCATTCTAGAAAAAAAGTCATTTTTGATTTAGGTTTTTGACCAAGGGTTTCCTGAATTTTCGGCCCAGAATTTTCATTTCGGTGCCTCCCTACTTTTCTTAATCACCTATCTTGCAGATGCTTGTCCCAATTAGGAAGCACAACCCATACGTACTGCCACCATATGTCAGAAAAAAAAAATTGTACCTTTTTCAGGTGGCCCGCTGTTTCACCATGGTATTACTTTGGTAATCTTAGCAACTCAAAGTTACATAAACCACATGCTTTCTCCTTTCCAAAACAAAGTTAAACATGATCCAACGCCAGGCATTAGAACAAATGCATATGATAGGTTTAAGCCTTATTAAGATACTGTAGTTTTGCATCTTGAACTATGGATAGTTTTTACAAAAAAAAAAAAAATATATGTTGCCCTTCTGAGAGCACTGGACGCTAAGCAGATAAATTAGAAGCCAAGGAGAAGACACACAGGCTGACATGTAAAGAATTTATCTACATGCCATATTTGTAATGGCAAACTGAAATGCCAGTCATAATGGAGAAGGGGAAAATGTGATCCCACACTATAGGGAAGAGAAGGCAAGGTTCTGTGTCGAAGAGAGGGGAGGGGGGGTATCATTGGCTCAAAGGCTCTGTGAGTGCAGGAGGGTCCTTTGTGGTGCATTCCTAGCATTTTAGTTTTCAATGCTATGATAACTGCAAACGGACCTTCAGGTTAGTATTAGAAATCACATTTGCCTTTGCAGTGATACCTCTACTAAACAGCAATTTGATAGCCCATTGTTGTGTGTGTACTGTGTTAAATTAGAGGTAGACCTGCACAGACAAATGGGAATTCTAATCTCAGAGAATCATTATCTATTAAATGAAGACTTTAGGTATTAGCTTTCTATTCTTAAAGGACCACTATAGGCACCCAGACCACTTCAGCTTAATTTCCCAGTGAGAAGACACCAGCGTCCATAGGAAAGCATTGATAATGCTTTCCTATGAGACTGGCTGAATGTGCATTGGGGCTCTCTTTACAGGAAGTGTTTATGGAAGGCTGTGCAAGTCACATGCAGGGAGGTGTGACTAGGGTTCATAAACAAAGGGATTTCACTCCTAAATGACAGAGGATTGAGCAGTGAGGCTGCAGGGGCATGTTCTATACACCAAAACTGCTTCATTAAGCTAAAGTTGTTCAGGTGACTATAGTGTCCCTTTAAGATCCTGCAGTGGCCTAGCCAGTCTAATCCCATAGAAAATCTGTGGAGAGAGCTGAAGGTTCCAGCTGCCAAACGTCAGCCTCGAAACCTTAAAGGACCACTATAGGCACCCAGATGACTTCAGCTCAATGAAGTGGCCTGGGTGCCAGGTCCATCCAGGATTAACCCTTTCTGCTGTAAACATAGCAGTTTCAGAGAAACTGCTATGTTTACATATGGGTTAATCCAGCCTCTAGTGGCTGTCTCATTGAAAGCCGCTAGAGACACTTTTCCCCTCACTGTACAAGGTGACAAGTTTCACGACAAGGTTTCTAAACAAAACATTTTAAAACAATAAATAGAATTGTTTTTTGGTATTGGTAGAGTGTTTGGGTCAACATTCCCTTACGAAATGGAATGCATAATGGCATTGTCATACAATCTATCAGTGTTATCCACTAAAGGAAGAATTGTCTGAAATTCAAAGTGAATTAAAATTTAGCACCAAAGTAGCCAAACGGAAATCATAGCATAACTGAGATTTTGTACCTGATTTTGATCCTGTGGAACTCGCTTCCCTCCTCCGTTAGATGCTCACCCAGTCTCCACACCTTCAAAAAATCGTTAAATACCCACTTCTTCATAAAAGCATATCAATTAAACTGTTAATAGCTCCTGACTGATTCCTCTTCTGCAACTGTCACTAGTCTAATACTATCCTTACCTTTTTGTGTCATTTTACCCCACTCCCTCTAGCATGTAAGCTCATTGAGCAGGGCCCTCAACCCCTCTGTTCCTGTGTGTCCAACTTGTCTGGTTACAGCTACATGTCTGTTCGTCCACCCATTGTAAAGCGCTGCGGAATTTGACAGCACTCTATAAATATCAATAATTTTGGCCCTAATTTTGAAAATCAATGTGAATTCATTTAAATTCCCAACAATTCTCACTTTAGTGAATAACCTTGCATGTGATCTGAATAAGATAGCTGATGCCAGAGGAGGTGGCTCCGAACGTCAAACTCCATAGTGTAAACAATAGCAATTACAGCTTGAAGCTGTAGCTAAGTTTATATACATACAACAGGACTGTGTATTATTGGATCCTTTCCTTTGAAGATTTGTGATAAATATCCATAAAAAAAAAATACATATATAGTCCAAAACAACTATTTCTAAATAAGATCAGTTTCACTATGATCCCTTAAAATAATATCTTGTCTGCTTATTGCATAAACCACCAGACACTGCATCCAGCTAACATATTGCACCGTTCCCTAGAGCACAATGCCTTTATGCCATCACCGCCAACCACCAAATGGACATCTATATACGTCTTGTGCAGTCATACATACAGCAACCCATGCTAACAGACAAACATGCACAGAAGCATGCAAGCTAGCATTTCTGAAAATGTGCCAAAACTCACTGATTATAAACCCCCTATATAACTCTAAATAAGCAGCTCCTTATAAATGAACAAGCTCACAGTGACACCATGAATAAAACACGGTTTCTAAGGTGCCTAGGTCTACAGCATGGGTGTTGAAAGGCATCTCCTTTATTGATGTTGGATTTTCAACTCTTATACCCGCTCTCCAAGCCTGGTCAGAACAGAAACTTTGGGAGAAAACAACTTTAAAGTTTGGGCTTCAGCACCCATCGTTCCTGCCTCAGGTTTCCAGTTATCTCTACTGTGAAGTATGAAGAAAAGATAGCCAGACGACCAGTATAAGGCTGCGACCGCCAGATGATGCTCTCACCCTAGCAATGGGTGTACATTGAGAAAAATTTTATGGACCGTGATAGGCTGAGAGCAGCAGCCTCCTGGCTATGCTTTTCTTTGCACTGCACAGCAGAGAGGAAGAGAGTCAGGGAGGTAGGAGTACTGGAGCCAAAATTTCAGGATTGAACAGTTGTTAAACAGTTTAAAGGACCACTATAGTGCCAGGAAGACATATTCGTTTTCCTGGCACTATAGTGCCCTGAGGCTCTGGAAGGGGGTAAAAATGTACCTTTTGCCAGCGCTGGGCGGGGAGCTCTCCTCCTCCTCTCCTCCCCGTCGGCTGAATGCGCGTGCGCATTCAGCCGGTCGCATAGGAAAGCATTATCAATGATTTTCACAGGGAGAATCACGCAAGCGCCTCTATCGGCTGTCAATGAGACAGCCACTAGAGGATTTGGGGGAAGGCTTAACCCATTCATAAACATAGCAGTTTCTCTCAAACTGCTATGTTTATAAAAGAATGGGTTAACCCTAGAAGGACCTGGCACCCAGACCACTTCATTAAGCTGAAGTGGTCTGGGTGCCTAGAGTGGTCCTTTAAACCCCGAAAGTAAGAAAGTGGCCACACACTCCTGTCCCCGTCACAACACAAAAGGGTACCTGTTATTTAAAAATAGGTATTTCTCCCACCTGTAAGTCAAATCTTTGGCATAGACTCTATACCAAAGATCTGATTGACAAAGAAGAGCAGAACACATCCCCGACAGATGGTCCTTCTGCTCTCTCAAGCATAGCAGCTGTAGTTGTTATGGAAACTTCCAAGCTGCAAACAATGGCTAAGAAGTATAGGAACAGAGTGACTTATCTCTCCATTCGGACGATGGCAATGAAGTCAGCATGTCATTTGTTTACAGGAGGTTTCTCCTGCTAGGGTAAGTGTCCCCAAGCAGGACAAAACACAGAAGAGGAGGAGCAGAGAGGATGGACTGGAGGAGGGTGTTAAACAATAACATAAAGCGGTGCCGGAACAGAGGTAAGGGAAGTTTATCTTGACTTTGTACAGGGAATACATCATGCATTTCTGTAATACATTATGTATTCAGTGTATTGGAGACAATCTAAGGTAATTAAACATTTTGGTTACAGGTTCACTTTATATAAGCTTGGGTTGGTATAGAGATGGGAGTGTTCTTTAAAAAGTTTGTCAACAGACTTAGCAGGGATGAATTTATATTTGCCAATGGTGATTGGAGAAAGAACATTAAATAGTAATGTTATACAATATATGTAAATAGTACAGTAATACTGTGCAACAATCAGACTCCCTATACAAGGAATATACCCTCACATCACTCACTATTACTGCACACACATTACAACCACAACCCCGAGGAGTCACTGATTGCACACAGCGCAGTGTATATTAGCGGTAGATACTCAGCACTGTTATGGATTACATGGCGTGTATTAGTGTCCCGGCCATGGCTGTGTGCACACACGGGGCTCGCTGGGCGCTCGGTTAGTCGGGCTGTAGAGTAAAGCGATACCCGGTATCACTGTGCGGGCGGCTCATGCTCACACGCTGCTTACTTACAGCCAGCTGAGTATCTAGCTCGGTAATGACATCGCACACGGCGGTCGGACCGCTGAGCACACACGTCATGATCACCGGCCGTCTGAGGACAACAAGAGCAGCATCAGTGGTATGGCCGGGGTGGGGGTGGGCACAGCGGGTCACAGTATATATTATAAAGGCTGGCGGGGACACAAACAGCGCTCCGTACTCACCTCTCAGCGATGCTCACATACCGGAAGCGCGTCACGGCTCTAAGGATACGCTATATGGGCTACGCTGCTTGCTTCTTTTTTTTTTCTTCAATCTAAGCAACTTTAATTAAAACAAAACAAAAAAAGCAAAACAATGGTACATGTTCGCTAGGGCTAGGCTATTCAGTAAATTCGAAATGTGTCATCAGAATAGAAAACCTTGGGCGGAAGATGTTCTACATCTTAGCCATACAAGATATTAAACAAAAAAAAACAAATACATGATTACCAATAAGAACGCTAAAATTAGTGCTTTGTACCTGCAAAGTATGTTCTCAGTTTCAAAAGGGAAATTGGGGTTTATCAGTTATACATACCGGTAGACTGGGAGCAAATATGTGTTTAATAAAAACTTTAGTTTTATATTACATTTAAAACAAGTGAATAATCAGAGCTCGCTTGAGCAGAGTCCTCTTCATCCTATAGTTCCTGTAAGTTTTTGTAATGGTCTCATTTAAAAAAAGTGCAAAAGGGGTGGAGCAGTGAAAAAAAGAGAATTTCAAATTAACAAAAACAGTATTTAGGTGAAGGACCCAAAGAGAGTTAAAGGATCACTATAATGTCAGAAAAACAAACCCATTTTCCTGACACTATATAATCCTTAGGGTCCCCCCTTTCCTTTATGCAGTGCGGGGCTACCTCGGCACTGGTGACCTCTCCTCCCCCTCCAACGTCAGCTCCCGAATGGAGCCGAATGCGCGCATTATAAACGCCCATAGGAAAGCATTTCTCAATGCTTTCCTATGGACGTTCTGCATGCTTAATGCGATTTTCTCTGAAACTGCTATGTTTACATCTGAAGGGTTAAAACCTGGGGGACCTGGCACCCAGACCACTTAATTGAGCTGAAGTGGTCTGGGTGACTCTACTGTCCCTTTAAAGTAACTGACAGTATAAAGGTACTGTAGTTACACTTAGTGATCAGTAGGTGGCATCAGATTGTACATGCTATCATATATGCAAAAGGGAAAAAACCATAAATACACATGATAGTGGAGACTGTATAGATACAGAAATGAAGAATAAGATGTAACTTTATATTTGCTTAATGCTGTTGAGCTTCATACATGTAGTAGATTAAAAGAGTCCAGTATCTGGTCTTTTTAAATGCAAGTCAATTTATTACATCAAAACAAATAGTGACAATAAAATAGGCACACTGTCTCTTACAAAATAGTGTGGTGAGTAAACTCGGCATACCCCGTTACTCATTGCCAGGCTTAGTCAGTAAAATGCATCCAATGGGGATATAACGGACGACTCGGGATGTCTGCGCTGTTTGACGGTTCGGTGCTTCAACTTAAAGGACCACTATAGTGCCAGGAAAACATACTCATTTTCCTGGCACTATAGTGCCCTGAGGGTGCCCCCACCCTCAGGGACCCCCTCCCGCCCGGCTCTGGAAGGGGGAAAGGGTTAAAAACTTACCTTTTTCCAGCACTGGGCGGAGAGCTCTCCTCCTTCTCTCCTCCTCCGTTCCTCCTCCTGGGCTGAATGCGCACGTGCGGCAAGAGCTGCGTGCGCATTCAGCCGGTCACCTAGGAAAGCATTCATAATGCTTTCCTATGGACGCTGGCGTGCTCTCACTGTGAAAATCACAGTGAGAAGAACGCAAGCGCCTCTAGTGGCTGTCAATGAGACAGCCACTAGAGGATTAGGGGAAGGCTTAACCCATTCATAAACATAGCAGTTTCTCTGAAACTGCTATGTTTATAAAAAAAATGGGTTAACCCTAGAAGGACCTGGCACCCAGACCACTTCATTAAGCTGAAGTGGTCTGGGTGCCTAGAGTGGTCCTTTAACCGTTTTCAGTCAGTGCTCTGTTGTACACCCGAGCCATCCGTTCTATCTCCATTGGATGCGTTTTACTGACTAAGCCTGGCAATGAGTAACGACGTGTGCCGAATTTACGCACCACACTATTTTGTAAGAGACAGTGTGTCTATTATCTTATTGTCACTATATGTTGTGATGTAATAAATTGACCAGATACTTTTAATCTACTACATGTGGGCATTTATATGAAGGTCAACAGCATTAAGCAAATATAAAGTTACAGTGTATTCTTCATTTCTGTATTTATACACTGCACTATTATGTGTACAGTATTTATGTATTTTCCCTTTTGCATATATGATAGGATGTACGGTCTGATGCCACCTACTGATCACTAAGTATAACTACAGTACCTTTATCCTTCCAGTTACTTTAACTCTCTTTGGATCCTTCACCTAAATACTGTTTTTGTTCATTTACAATTCTCTTTTTTCACTGCTCCACTCCTATTTACACTTTTTTATTTTAGACTTTGCATTGTGTGTTGGGGTACAACATGTGAGTGTGTTATCAGTTTTACAATAAGTTTATGGACAAAGTTCATACCAGCTCTAATTATTTATTTATAAAATATTTTACCAAGAAATTATAAAGTCTTTAGAGTTGTTGAGTACTGTGCAATCCTTTGAGCGCTCCAAAATCAACTGACATTTTAATTGTCTCATTTATTGATAAATATCCCCTCCAATAATATTGTAATGCGCTACGGAATTTGTTGGCACTATATAAATTGTTAGCTCAGTATAGATTCAGCGTGCAGTAAGCACGTTTTGTTGTGCAGTTATACACACAGGGTTTTTCACTAAAGTGAAAATACAAAATGAATTGCAAGTTTAAGGCCAAAAGAGATGAATTGGAAATATTCTCAGCTATGCTTCCAGGACAGATAATGTAGCCTAAAATTTTAAATTCACTTTGAATTCTCACTTTAATAATTAAACAAACCCTAGTATCTTTCACATGATTTTTCATTGTTAGGATTGTCAGGAACTAGTGTGTAGCAACAACTGTAGCAGAAGAAAGATACATGTTTTAATAGATACAAGAGGCAGAAATTCTACAAGATAGGCTACTATATATTTATTACTAGCATTTAAAACGCACCAACATATTCCGTAGCGCAGTACAATTGGGAAAACTATAGTGCAATATAAACAGACCAATACAAAGGGTAAAGTATGCCTGTGAGTTTACAATCTATACTACAGTGAGGATTATTTACTAAAGTGAATACTGACAGTACTCTCACCTTCCCTCACTTTTCCTTTTTATAGACGTAAATTGACTGTGAAGTGTACATTTGGAAATTGCCCATTTTTAAAATTAATTTTGTAATACGTTAGGGAGTTGTTCCAAGACTAATATCTATCTCACATTTTATGCTTAGGATATTTAATCCTTATTGGGGCAATTAAACAGACTACCTCCACCAGATGTGACCAGAGACTAGGTTTTTTGTTTTCATAGTAACCTCCTAACATTTTTCATTAGCACTAGTACACACACTTAACGGAACGCTATCGTATCAGGAATACAAACATATAATCCTAACACTATATTTTGGAGTAGCAGTTTAGGTTCCCGTACCCAGAATGGAGTTAAAAGGTGTTTAAATTTACCTTTTCTGCATCGCCGTGGATGGTCCTACCTCTCTGGCTGAGATCAGCAGTCTTCGTGATCTCAGCCAATCCAATGTCTTCTTATGTGCCGAAGAGCATCTTCTCACAGACATGTAATGAATTAATGCATCTCAATGGGGAGTATTTAGTGTCTCAATGCAGAGCGTGGAGACGCTGAACGAGGAGACACATTGTGCAGCACTAAAATAGGAAGCACCTCGAGTGGCCATCTGAGTGACTGTCACTAGAGGTGTTACTAGGGAGCAATGTTAACACTGCCTTTTCTAATGAAAGGCAGCATTTATGTTGCTCAGGCTGCAGGGAAATGCTATAGACACCAGAATCACTGCATTAAACTCTAGTGGTGTTGGTGACTACAGTGTCCCTTGAAAGCTAAACCTAAAGGAAATATTTAATCTCCATTATGTTGAAAAAAAAATTCTAAATGCACTATTTTGGGATAAATATTTAAATTTTCTTTGATCTTGTGGAAATTCTCATTTTAATAAATAACCCTGCATGTTTAAGTTGTGAGAATGCCAGCTCTCACTCACTAGTTGTAGCCATAATATATCTGCTGTTGCTTTTTCAACTCTGTTTCAGCTGTTTTGGTTAGTGTAACGGCTAAAATAGCCAAAATAAAAACAGAATTGACTTGGAAATTGTTTCTAAATTGGCTATTTTTGGGAAAATATTGAAATGTATTTAGAATTTATGGGCAATTCTAAATAACCCTGCATGTTTCAGTTGTGAGAATTCTGACACTCGCTCCCTACTTGTTCCCATAATCAGAGCTGGATTAACAAAAGATCTCCCTGCACAGCCCTGCGCTTCTGCATTTTGTTGAGAGAGTGCTGTGGTCTTTACCATTAACAAGTAAAGACCACTTTAAGAGCGTCTTCACTGGCCCCCTGGGACTTCTCGATGCATTGATTGAGCCCCAAAACCGTGAAGGTGCTTTTAAAGTGGTCTGTACTTGATAATGGTACAGACAATAGAGCTTTCACACGGAACCACCAGGGATCTAGCTCACCCTCCACTGGATCACTGTTTAGTGAATAGATCTATAATGTGGAATTGTCACTACCTTGTTACCTCACCCCAAACAATGTAGCATTCACTTGAATGAAAACTTGCTTCCAGTGCACGTCAATCCACCTGCTAAATATTTCACAACTTATCTAGGGTCTGCCAGTTACCTCCTCCATTGAGAGCTGGAACCTCCTTTATGGAGTTTCAGTTTGCTCTGCTGAGCTAAGCACTGCCATGCAGGGCAGCTCATTGGATGGAGAACATCAACGGATTGCTGCCCTTCATGGCCAGCCTAGCTCAGAGCACAACACATTCAACTCTCGATGGAGCAGTTGTCCAATAGCCAGTGGAGCATCCCTGTAAGTTGTCACACGGTTTAACTATTTGCATGGGTGGTGGGCGCCAGTGCACTTTTAAGGTTATGGTGCTCAAGACTTTCTTTAATCATTCAAATTGAAGGGAATACTAGCAGAATATGATTTTAAACATACTCTAAGTAGTTTGAATCGTTTATAGCAAATTAGCTTATTATATTGCCATACCCACTGATTTCATTTCTGCAAAGAACAAACACCTTCTTCTTAATGTGGTGTTATATTGAGGGCAGTGGTAACTGTATGCTGAGTACACGGTACCACCCAAGTGTCCCTATTCAGGAGAGACAGTCCCTATTATGGGCCCAAATCTCTCTGTCCATCTTTTCTATCCTATCGTCCCTCCACACTGTTAGTTGTGCCTGTGTGTATAACAGAGCTCTGCAGCAATAACACTCACAGTAATGTGTCTTTAAACTATAATAAATGTGTTTAGAAAATCGGTCTGCGTAAATGAGATACATTGTTCTTGTTCTACATTACATTTTAGTTAAATTGTTATTGGTAAGTTACCTAAAATCTCTCATAACAGCCCCATTCCTGGCCACACCTCTACCTACACCCTTAAAATGAAAGTGTTCCTTTTTATTTGGCATGTTGGGTTTTATGAGCTAAAAGTGATTGATTGACAGATTGATTGGATGGATATCATAAACCCCATTACTACCAAGGTATTAGCTGTGCCAGCCCAGGCACAGTGTTCCTAGTAAAATAATTTATTATTGCAAGTTATGACTATAATCACTGAATCAATGAGCCGAGCATGTTTTGTTACGGCGATGAGGGCTGAGTTCCGGTTACCCACAATCCATCGCGCTATTTGCCTATATTTGCATAAAGCGCAGTATAGCCGCTGGTTGTTTTTATTCTTGTTTAGTATTGAACATATGTCACCAATCAATGTGTAAAATTCATAACTTTAATGCCATAGGCAGCATTTATTATTTTGCGGTTGTTTTACAGGGTCGCCATAATCTTTTAAGGTGTCATGTGACGCCAGGCTTTCACTCCTGCGTGTGTTCGATAAAAAGGGCTTGTGCCGTGCATGGCACATCGCGGCCTCCTCTGGGGGGTTGCGGTGCGGAATCGATATCAAGAGATTTCGGAAGCATAATTTTTGTTACGGGGACTGCTTGTGATCGTTTTTCCGGGCGTCCCGCACAAACTGGTCATAAAAAACAGGTGTTATGAGTAATGACTTATTTAAATGTATTAATATGTAACGCTAATAATAAGAATCTGCTGGTACATGTAATACAGTAGAAATATATTTGACTTAGATCAGATAAAATTATTTTAAATTTCTATCCGAAGTTGGATAGGTTTATCATGGTCGCTTGCTGAATATTATTCTGCATAAAAATTTAGAAAGCAGCAGGTTAAGGGTGAATGTGTAGTGAGCACCCCCTGCTGGCAAAGCTGCGTACGAGCCGATGAGTGAAAGGGGGTGGAGAGGATTGTATTGCAGACCTCTTGACACAACAGCAAACATATTCCATGGAACAAGAACTTTTCTAAAGAAGCGTTCTATACTCAGAACTCAGAAAATAGGATGTGAGTGAATCATGATATATACATTAATCTGAGAGAGTGGACACATACCTGGGAGTAGTATTAAAATGAACAATTAGGAAGTCATGGTGAAGAGATCAGCTGCTCAAAAAACAGACAGAAGACACTTATCCAAGATGTGCAAATCAAGTTTCCTATAAGACCACGAATAAAACAACATTTAAGAAACATTTCCTGCTGTTTGCTTAACATGAATCTGTCACCACACAGTTGATATACTTGGAACTAAAGATTGGATTAATACTGTGAAAAAAGAGGCAATATTATTAAATATATTTGATGTATACTTGTTTTTTTAAATTTTATTTTATTTAGTTTTCACAAAATTAACAGCACTTGTCATCCAGCAAGTGATTAACAAATCAATACAGAATGCAATTAAGGTACATGTTGGGTTTTATGAGCTAAAAGTGATTGATTGACAGATTGATTGGATGGATATCATAAACCCCATTACTACCAAGGTATTAGCTGTGCCAGCCCAGGCACAGTTTGAATGTATATGGAAATTGCCAACAACATAAATATAAGACATACAGTGCATTAAGATGGGATAAAGTTCAATTAACAGAAATTGAACTAGAAAGTCATAAGAACTCACAATGAATATAAAGACAATAAAATGAAAATACCGGTAGGCTAAAATGATATTAATTGGGTCCGTCTCTCGCTGGCTTCCTCAATGTTTGCGTAGGAACATCTGGCATCAAGAACTGCTGTAGTGAGTTTTGAAGGTTAGAGAAGTTTTAACAGTTTGGTACTATGTACTCAGCTATTAAGATAAATGAAATGGAGATGACAGTTTTTTCTATATTTCTTTAAAATTTTATTTTTTATTAAAAAATCAGACCATTTCTGGTCATTTCTGTCTCTGCTCTCCCTATATGGGGTTGGGTGCAGGCCATAAGTCGTAGCCTAGACTCAGTTGCTGGTATGGACATTTCTGATCTTGGTCTCTAGTGTGGCGAACAGACATGGTATCACCCCAGGGTTTTGTTTAACCCCTTAAGGACCAAACTTCTGGAATAAAAGGGAATCATGACATGTCACACGTCATGTGTCCTTTAGGGGTTAAATGTATATTTATTTGCACTGGGGTTTTTTTGGACTGACTCTTATTATTGATGGGCAACCACTCCATGAATAGACATGTGTGGCCTTGACGGTATACATCGCACCTTTTGTTGCTTTGTTATCAATTTTACTCTTACACTCTCCATAGTTCCTGTCCTTTCCTTTCTAGCGTCTTCTTTTTTTTCTTCTTCTCGTATCACCTCCCCACCTTTTTTTATTTTTCTCTTTCTGTTCTTCCCATACCATTACTCCATTTACTTGTAACTCCATGGGATAGAGGCCTCAGCGTGCTCTCTTTATCCACTAAATCTCCACGTTAAATGTCAGGGGGCTCAACATGCCAGAATGGCTAACTTCTAACTCTAAACGTTTTGCGCATCTGTAGCTTTGATCCAGGAGACGCATGACAGCCTCACTTATTAATGAGGATAGCTTTATACTTATCTTAGTGTAAAGGCTCAAATAGCCAAAACGAAAACATAATTGACTTGGAAATTGTTTCTAGTTTGGCTATTTTTGGGCTAAATATTGAAATTCACTTTGAATTCATGCTAAATCTCACTTAAGTAAATGAGCCTACATGTTTCAGTTGTGAGAATGCTGGCACTCACTCCCTTGTCGTTGCCATAATATATCTGTTGTTGCTATTTCAACTCTGTTTCAGTTGTGAGAATGCGGGCACCCACTCCCTAGTCATTCCCATAATCAGAGCCGGATTGCCATAATCAGAGCTAGATTATCAATAGATCTTTCTGCACAGCCCTGCGATCCTTCATTTAGTTGAGGGACAGATGTGTTCTGAACCAATAACAAGTACAGACCATTGTAAGAGCTCCCTCATGTTCCCCCTGGGGTGTCTCAGTGACTTAGAGTGCCACAGCCAGCGCTCTGAGTCACTGACTTTACCCCGAAAACCGTGAGGGCGCTCTTGAAGTGGTGTGAGCTTGATATTAGTCCAGACAATGGAGCTCCACCATGTAATCACCAAGGATGTAGCTCACCCTCCACTGGATCACTGTTTGGGATTGTCAGGTCCTCGTTATCTCACCCCAGAAAATGAAGTGGTCACTTGAATGAAGAAAGCAGAGGAAGAAGTAATAAAAACTTAGGATGACTACGTTATCCCATTATGCCTCGGGACGCACTTCAGTGTATTTGGGAATATATAGAGAAATTCTTCATGAGCATGTTCTCTCTATTATACATCCGTGTACTGACATAAATTAAAATAAAAAGAAATGTACTGTGAGATTTAAATAAAAAAATAGTGTGTCTGTGTGTATAACAGAGTTCTGTAGCAATAATACTCACAGAATTGTCTTTAAACTACAAGTGTGTTTAAAAATCAGGCTGTGTAAATGAGATACATTGTACTTGTTCTAATCTACATTTTAGTTGCATAATTTGTTATTAGTAAACTACCTAAAATTTCTCATTACAGCTCGGCCCCTGGTGACACCCCTAAAATGAAAGTCCCCCTTTTTGTTTGAAATGTTGGGTGTTATGATACATGTAATTGTGTGGATTGGCTATCATTAACCCCATTACTACCAAGTTACCAGCTGTGCCAGGCACAGTGTTCTGAGTAAAAGCATTTCTTTAATGCAAGTTATTATAATTAAATAAAATACCTCTGTATCAATGTGTGGAGTGTGGTTACCCTGAGAACAGGAGGACAAACTCGAGGATTGATTACATTTCAGTGTGACTGTATAAGGACTCACTGAATCACCCGGTATAAAGAATTACATTAGAACACACACAGGCTCAATAAAGCCGAGCATGTTTTGTTACGGCGATCAGGGTTGAGTTCCGGTTACCCACAATCCATCGCGCTATTTGCCTATATTTGCATAAAGCGCAATATAGCCGCTGGTTGTTTTTATTCTCGTTTAGTATAGAACATATGTCACCAATCAATGTGTATCATTCATAACTTTAGTGCTATAGGCAGCATTTATTCTTGTGAGGTTGATTTGAAGGGTCGCCATAACCTTTTAAGGGGTCATGTGACGCCGGGCTATCACTCCTGAGTGTGCTCACTAAAAAGGGCTTGTGCTGTGCATGGCACATCGTGGCCTCCTCCGGGGGGTTGCGGTGCGGAATCTATATCAAGAGATTTCGGAAGCATAATTTTTGTTTCGGGGACTGCTTGTGATCGTTTTTCCGGGCGTCCCATATATGTGTTGGTCATAAAAATAGAATTTTTAGTTATATGATGTAGAATACCTTACATGAGAGCCAAACGTTGTAAGGATTGTAACAAAGCGGTCAGTGGAATAGGTGGAACGAGTTGAATATTACTACTTAGGTCAGGGTTAACCCTAATCACTGGCTGCTAATCAATACAAGCTATTGATTGTATTCTGTGTATATTCAATATTATACACATAACACAAGAAGAGAAAGCCCAGATGCTTAGGTATGCATAGAGACGAGTATAGTCAATTGCATTTACCCATAGTCCTTTACATTATTTACATATAGTTGAATAAAGTTAGAAGTGTTAATGGGTTGGTTTCTCCTTTTTGATTGCTGTGAATATATTTTTACAGAATTTATGTAGAGTGGCCATAGTGTTGGTTATAATAGAACATGATGAAAAAGACTTGAGCCTGATATGGCAGATGGTAGCTCCCATAATGGGTGTTGCAATGAAAAGGAATGTTCTTTTAACACATTGCTTAGATTTAAAATGCATGTTTTGGTCATAATTATTTTAAAATTAAGGTCCCTGAAAAGGTGTGGGTTTTTGTTTTGTTTTTTATCTTAAAACAAACATTTTTGAAAAAATGTCCTCCAAACATCATCACAAAAGTAGGTGCCCTGTACAGAAATAAAGCCTGCTTAGATCATCCTATAAGAAAATGGATTGTGCCGCAAATTATGCTAGTCAAAGAGTTTGTGGATGTATTATATGCATCTACACCACTAAAAAAACCTTTTAAATACTTCATTGTGAGGGGGAATCTAATGCACTTGCATGGCAAGTGCCACTCGAGCATTAGGCCTTCCACATAGGAAAGCATTAAATCAATGCTTTCTTATGGAGTATTGCAAGACTCTGGATGTCCCCATACAAAGTGTGAGGATGTCCAGCATCCTTTCCCTGCGTTAAACTCAGTGAAACAGCAGAAGGCCCTTCTAGTGGCAGTCTGTGAAACAGCCACTAGAAGCAGTGTTAACCCTGAAATGAAAACATTGCCCTTTGTCTATAATGGCAATGTTTTCAGCTGCAGAATTAAGGGGACAGTGCGCCCTGAGGACTTCTATGAGATTAAGTGGTCTTGGTTTCTATAGTGTCCTTTTAACAGAGCATTCTGTATGTAAAGTGTTTTGTCATTTTGTTCTCCAATTTTCCTTCATACTGTTGTAGGCCATTCTGACAATGGTTGCAGGGACATATGTTAACAGATATTGCAACTTTAACACCCTTCTTCTGTCAAATATTTACTGTACATACTGCTTGCTTCACATGAGTAGAGCCTTCCAGATTGAAATTTGTGAGTTTTTTTAAAAATCATTTTGAATGATGTTTAATTTTTTTATACCCCCCACCCTACAGGCCCATCTCCCCCTACACTAACTACAGCTACTGTCTCAACTAAAACACACAACCACCCATCCTCAAACACTACAGCCTCTATATTTCTCCCAATGAACACAACAGCCCTTATGCCCCCCAACATAATAAAGCAATTATTGATGCATGCACACACGTACTACTCCACAATCAGCCTCATTCACTCACACACGCAACTTCACAAGCATCATCCCCAGGGCTGGATTTAAATATCAGGTGCTTGTAGGCACAGCATTTAAACCACAAAAAAACAAAAAAAAACAAAGAGATGAAGAAAGTTTAAAATATTTATTACCTGGAAATTGCAGTCATATAAAAAAAAAAATCTAAAAACATATATTCCAATTTGACAAATGGAGATGTACATATGTATGTGTATATTTTTTTATTTTTAAAGGACCACTATAGTGCCAGGAAAACATACTCGTTTTCCTGGCACTATAGTGCCCTGAGGGTGCCCCCACCCTCAGGGTCCCCCTCCCGCCCGGCTCTGGAAGGGAGAAAGGGGTAAAATCTTACCTTTTTCCAGCGCTGGGCGGAGAGCTCTCCTCCTTCTCTCCTCCTCCGTTCCGCCCCGTCGGCTGAATGCGCACGCGCGGCAAGAGCTGCGCGCGCATTCAGCCAGTCGCCTAGGAAAGCATTCATAATCCACTAGAGGAAATAGGGGAAGGCTTAACCCATTAATAAACATAGCAGTTTCTCTGAAACTGCTATGTTTATAAAAAAAATGGGTTAACCCTAGAAGGACCTGGCACCCAGACCACTTCATTAAGCTGAAGTGGTCTGGGTGCCTAGAGTGGTCCTTTAATGTATTGTGTAAATGTTTGCAACATCACAAACAGTGGCCTCCATTTAATATTGTTGGGTAAGCTTTCCAAATGACTTAATAATTTTTGGATACATTTTTACAATTATTTTAATATAATGCAATATACATATCATTTTCTAATATTTGGATATTTTAATATGTCGAAAAAAAGTCATTTTTAAAAATGTATCCAAAATTATTAAATCAAGCTTATCTATGTTGAGGTCCAGGGTAGAACTTGAAAGAAAGCAGAGAAGAGACTCATGAATCGAGCCAGAAGATGAAGAGGGATGTGGTCCACATACAGTTTTTCCATATAACCTTCCTTATTGGGAGTATGCAGGAGATTGAGTCGATCTTGAATTCCTGAAACAGATACCACTTAAGTGGGTTCAAGGAGCTTCAAGGAAAATCACTACAAAACCCAGGGTGCTAGAAAACGTATGACCAGATGGGAATATCCTGTCTTCTTCAGGCCCATGAAGATAACGTAGAAGAAGCCTCCAATGTCATAGTTACATAGCCTGAAAAGAGACATGTGTCTATCAAGTTCAGCCTTCCTCACATCTGTTTTTTTGCTGTTGATCCAAAAGAAGGCAGAAAACCCAGTTTGAAGCACTTCCAATTTTGTAACAAACTAGGGAAAAAAATCCTTCTTGACCGAAGAATGGCAGCCAGTTTTATCCTTGGATCAATATGTCCTGTGCCTATTATACTGCGCCTTTGGAAAACAATGTCTGGATTTCCTTGTCTATGAAAGCCTTGTGTTCTTTGGAGACATAGCATGATGTGATGTAGCCCTGTACTATATGTAGAATCCAAGCGTCTGATAATATGACTACCCAATCCTCTCAGAAAAGTAACATCCTGCCTGCTACTAACTGTCACGCCGCCAGCCGGGCCCGCTCCAGCCAGAGAGCGGTATGGGTCCCGGTGGGCGCGTATCGTTGCGGCGGCATTCCCACATCGCAAGGGGAATGCCGCCGAATACTCACTCGTCCTCCAGGCACCCGCTGAGTCCCCTCATGCCTGGTAGCGGACTGGGACCCGGCGGGCGCATCTCGTTGTGGGGGCATTCCCAGGTGGTAATGGGAAGTTGGCCGTGGGCGGCAGAGTTTCTGTCAGACGTGGTCATATTCCGGCTCCCGGCATCAGTAGACAGCCCGAGATACTCACTTGGAGTATTGTACACAGTACTGGAGACCGTATCTTCAGAAGGATATTGATACCTTAGAGAGGGTTCAGAGAAGGGCTACTAAACTGGTTCATGGATTGCGGGATTAAACTTACCAGGAAAGGTTAAAGGATCTTAACATGTATAGCTTGGAGGAAAGACGAGACAGGGGGGATATGATAGAAACATTTAAATATATAAAGGGAATCAACACAGTAAAGGAGGAGACTATATTTAAAAGAAGAAAAACTACCACAACAAGAGGACATAGTCTTAAATTAGAGGGACAAAGGTTTAAAAAATAATATCAGGAAGTATTACTTTACTGAGAGGGTAGTGGATGCATGGAATAGCCTTCCAGCTGAAGTGGTAGAGGTTAACACAGTAAAGGAGTTTAAGCATGCGTGGGATAGGCTTAAGGCTATCCTAACTATAAGATAAGACTAGTGACTAATGAAAGTATTTAGAAAATTGGGCAGACTAGATGGGCCGAATAGTTCTTATCTGCCGTCACATTCTATGTTTCTATGTTTCTATGAGATGGAGCAGAGCAGAGAGAACACAGCTCCCTCACCGCGTCTGACAGGAACTCTGACGCCCGCCACACTGAAGCACCACTGGACCCATGCAGGGAAGCCGGGTGGACATTGATTATTAATAATTTGTGTGTGTGTGTGTGTTTGAATGTGTATGTGTCTGTAAGTGTATATGTGTGTCTGAGTGTGTGTGTTTGTCTGTGAGTGTGTGTCTGTAGGTGTGTAAGTGTATGTGTGTGTCTGAATGTATATGTGTGTCTGAGTCTGTGTGTGTATGTGTTTGTCTGTGAGTGTGTTTCTGAGTATGTGTGTCTGTCTGTAAGTGTGTGTGTCTGTAAGCGTATGTGTGTGTGTCTGTAAGTGTAAGTGTCTGTATGTGTGTGTCTGAATGTGCATGTGTCTGTAAATGTATGTGTGTGTTTGAGTGTGTGTGTATATGTTTGTCTGTGAGTGTGTCTGTTAGTGTATGCTTGCCGGAGTGTGTGTGTCTGTAAGTGTGTGTGTCTGTAAGTGTATGTGTCTGTAAGTGTATGTGTGTGTGTCTGTGAGTTTATGAGTGTATGTGTGTGTCTCTCCATGTGTCTGTATGCATGTCTGTATGTTTGGGTCTCTGTGTGTGTGTGTCTGTATGTATGTGTCTACATGCGTATCTGTTTGTCTACATGTGTGTGGGGGGGCAAGGACGTGTGGGGTAGGTGATAGATGTATGGGGGGAGCCTCTGATAGTGGTACCACAATCAGGGGGGCTCACCCCTTTCAAATCCCAGCAGTCACAGAGGCCAGGAGAGGGCGTAAGGCGGCTCAACCCTGCGCACAGCTGTACCAGTCAGTCTGCACAAACAGGCACCAGAAAAGTTCAATTGTATACACTGTATACCACCCTCTTTAGGTTGTCAATGGTATAATTCACAGCTGGTGAAAATAAAAGCTGCTAATATATGCAAGGGATTGGTACGCTTAATATAAAGAGACGCTGATAGTCTTCAGTAATAAAGGGGGACAGGGAAAAATACAGGGAATAATATCCAGAGGCCTAATTCTAAACTAAAGCAAGCAAAGACAGGGCATAAAGGCTAGGCAAAACAGTGGGGATGACAGCTGGAAGGGCAGCATAGAGTATAGGAAACCTTAGGAAACACCATTAAAGCAAAATACAGGGTGGCCCATAACTCCCTTCCCATCCATATATCCAGGGCAGGCGTTTACTATAAGGCGATCTAGGCAGCCGTTTCCTGTCAGTCCAGGCGGGTACAGGAAGCAGAAGCTCCTGTACCGCGGACCTTGGCCACGTTACACAGGGAAGGGGAGGTGAGGAGAAAGTGGGAGGGGGAGGAGAGTGTGGGGGAGGTAAGAGTCCACAAGAGAGGGGGTGGTGAGGAGAATGTGGGAGGGAGGGTGAGGAGAATGGGGGCAAAGGGGAGAGTCCACCAGGGATGGAGGGGTGTGAGTGAGGAGGGGGGGGGAGGAGAATGGGGGCTGAGGAGGACGGGGGAGAGAGACCACTAAGGAGGAAGGGGTGGTGGAGAGACCACTAAGGAGGTTGGGGAGGAGGAGAACGGGGTAGGGAGAGTCCACTAAGGGAGGAGGGTGGTGAGGAGAACGTGGGAGGGTGAGGAGAATGGGGGGGGAAGAGTCCACTAAGGGAGGGAGAGGGGGTGGAGGAGAGACCACTAGGGGAGGGAGGGGGGAGAGGAGAGACCACTAATGGAAAGGGGGGGGAGAGAAGAGACCACTAATGGAAAGTCGGGGAGAAGAGGAGAGACCACTAAGGGAGGGGTGGGGAGGAGAGAAGAGACCACTAAGGGAGAGGGAGGAGAGACCACTAAGGGGCAGAGGAGAGCTCTAAGGGACGGAAGGGAGAGCTCTATAGGACAGGGAGCTCTTTTACACTACGCGCGCACACACACAATGCATCCCTATACATACACAGAAACACACAATGCATCCCTACACACACAGAAATGCAACATGCTTCCCTTACACACAGAGAAACACACAATGCATCCATTACACACACACACACAATGCAACTCTTACACACAAAGACAATGCATCCTTCGCACACATACAAAGAAGCATACAATGCATTCCTTACAGACACATGCAAACACACTCTGCTTCTCTTACACACACACAGAAACACAATGCATCTCTTACACACACTCAATGCACCCCTTACATACACAGAAACACACCTTGCATCCCTTATGCATACAAACAGAGATTCACACAATGCATCCCTTACACACAACCAGAAACACACAATACACTCCACTACACACAAACACACTGCATCACCTACACAAACTGGTATCTCTATACACTTCATTCCATAAGCACACAAATTAGATCCTCTACAATAATACATAAAACATCCCCTACACATATCACTCCCTGTGAGCGAACTCAAGGGTGGAACATGGGTGGGCCTTACGGGCATACTCACCATCAGGCCCTTGGGCCCATACCTTGAGCTGTGTAAGGGGCCCCCCAAAATGGAGCTGTTTCCCGTTCTCCCAGAACATTGAATTTTGTGACCACAGTAACAAACAGCCTCCAGAGATCCTGTTCTACACCAGACCAGTGGAGCCAAACTGCAGCCAGAGCCCATCACCATCCTCATCTGGTTGTAAGTAGGCAATCTAATATATTATTAGTGACACTAATCTTTAATTTACCTCACATTAAAGGGACACTGGTCTATAGCCTGACCCTGCAGGCTTTTTAATGTAAACACACACTGTGTGCAGCACTGGCGTTTGTTCATATGGCAGATCATATGGTTGGGGCATTGTGATGTCATATGGGGCGTGGGGGGGATTTTCTTTTGCCTAGGGCGGCAAAAATCCTTGAATGTTACTTTGTTTTCATTGGTTGATTATATAATTGATCTGTGCTGCTGGAGGTTTGAGTAAAGAAAGTTATGTAAAATATGAAGCCTTCTGTCATGTGGTAAAATTCACTGTGAATAAACCCACAAGTCTAAAGTGTTAAAGAGATAACATTTTTGTCATCCATTAAAATATTTTGTATGATATCAGACAATGCTGTAAATATAATTTTAGGCTTCTTTGCTTCTTTAAAAGATGTGAAACACTCAGGGCCGGCGCTTCCTATAAGGCGAACTTGGCAGCCGCCTAGGGCGCCATATAGGAGGGGGCGCCCTGCGCCCCCATCGCCGGCCCTTTAAATGCCACAGCCGCCTGAGCGCTCTATAGAGAGCGCTCAGACGGCTGCCACACTGCCTCACCTCCCCTTCCCTGTAGCGTGACCAAGCTCCTCTCCGGTCCGCGACCCGGAGAGGAGATGGCCACGCTACAGGGAAGGGGAGGTGAGGAGAAGATTACAGGAAGGGAGGGGGGAAGAAGATTATAGGGGGCGAGGGGGGAGTGGAGAAGGTTACAGGGAGGGGGGAGAAGATTACATGGGGAGTGGAGAATATTACAGGGGGAGGAAGAAGATTACGGGGAAGACATGGAGGGAGGAGAAGATAACAGGAGGAGGGGGGGGAGTGGATAAGATAACAGGGAGGGAGGGGGGGTGGAGAAGATTATAGGAGGGGAGGAGAAGATTACAGGGAGTACAGGAGGGAGGGGGAGAAGATCACGGGGAGGGGCAGGGAGGGAGGGGGAGTGGAGAAAGACACAGGGGGAGTGGAGAAGATTACAGGGAGGGAGTGAGCAGATTATACAGGAGGGAGGGGGAGGGAGAAGATTACAGGAGGAGGGGGGGAGATGATAAGATGCTACAGGGGGGAGGAGAAGATTATAGGAGGGGAGATGAGAAAGATTACAGGGGAGTGGAGAAGATTACAGGGGGAGTGGAGAAGGTTACAGGGAGGGAGGGGGAGGAGAAGACACAGGGAGGGAGAGGGGAGACATAAGATTACAGGGGAGGGAGAAAATTACAGGAAGGAGGGGAGGAGAAGATTACAGGAGGTCGGGGAAGATTTCAGGGGAGTGAGAAAATCACAGGAGGAGGGGGAGTGGAGAAGATTACAGTGGAGAAGAGGGGGGAGGGGAGGGGGTGAGAAGATTATGGGGAGGCAGAAGATTACAGGGAGGGGGGAGAAGAAGAAGATTACAGGAGGGAGGGGGGAGAAGAAGAGAAGATTACCGGAGGGGGGAGAAGAAGAGATTACAGGGACGGGGAGAAGAAGAGGAGAACACAGGAGGGGGGGAAGAAGTGAGAACCCAGGGAGGGGGAAGAAGTGGAGAACCCAGGGGGGGGGGGAAGAAGTGGAGAACCCAGGGAGGGGGGGAATAAGAGGAGAACAAGGGGAGAAGAGAAGATTACGGGGGAGAAGAAGAGATTACAGGGAGGGAAGGGGGAGAAGAAGAGAAAATTACAGGGGGGAGGGGAGAAGATTACAGGGAGGGGGGAGAAGAAGAGAAGATTACAGGGAGGGGGAGAAGAAGAGATTACAGGGACTGGGGGAGAAGAAGAGGAGAACACAGGTAGGGGGGGGGAAGAAGTGGAGAACACAGGGAGGGGGAATAAGATATGTTTGTTAATCCCTATATAAACTTGTCTGCCAGGCTTACTATCTATCTCTACTTGATAAAGCCTTGAAAATGCAGTGTGTACATTAAAAAGTCTGCAGGGAAAGGCCATACTCACTAGAGCAACTACAATAAACTAGTTGTTCTGGTGACTATAGTGCACTGGTGGCCCGTTGCCTCCCTGAGAAAATAGTAAAACGCAGAGGCTCTCCCGTGCACTCACTTGCCAGTCCTGCTGTGTGTCTTCACGGAGCGGTGGGGAGATCAGAGATCTCCCTCACAGGCTCACTGGCTCTTAAATGTGGTAGCCGGGAGGGGAGGGGAAGACACACACAGTGCATCCCTCACAGAGACAAGAGCACCCTCCACACACCACACCCGTCACACACTTCAACTCCTAAACCTCACTTTAGGCACTATCCCTTACTATAGCCCCTATCCTGGCAAACCCTAGGTAAGTTGTCAAACTCTTCTTAATCGGTCTGACTACTTACTCTAGTAGGGTGCCACAGCACTCCTGGCACCATAACCACTACATAGAGCTGTAGTGCTTATTGTGCCTGAATTGTTCCTTTAAAAATAATCTGCCAGTGTCCTTCTCAAGATTAGGTTCTGGATCTGCCCCTCTATAGTGACCCTTTAAATGCATGCAAGTTTTTATTTGGGTATATCTACTAAACAGTGATTTTTATTTTGTATGAGGCAGTGAAGTGTCTAACTTTTGTCTATCTTCAGGTTACAAATAAGGAAAAGTAGAATCCTGCAGTGCCCCCCTCCCTTTTATGTGGCCAAAATGGGTTAAAACCCCTTCAGTCACTTACCTGAATCCAGCGCCTATGTCCCTCTGCACTGTGTCAGGCTCCGCACATGCTCCTCCCTTGCTGACGTCAGCCGGTGGGGGGGGGGGACCTAATACGCATACGCGGCAATGGCCACTAGACCTCCTCCTATGGGGATTCCGGTGACGCTGGAGGTGCTCATGCATAGCGTGAGGACGTCCAGCGTTGTTTAAAACACTTTTGGTGTTCTAAGAAGCTGGAAGTCCCTCTAGTGCCAGTCTGAGGAGGACTTAACCCTGCAAGGTAATTATTGCAGTTTATAAAAACTGCAATAATTACAGTTGCAGGGTTAAGGGTGATGGGAGTTGGCACCCAGACCACTCCAATGGACAGAAATGGTCTGGGTGCCTGGAGTGTCCCTTTAAGACAAAAAGTGACAGATCCGCTTTGACAACAGTGAGTAGCATGACCCATAGTGTACTGAACAGTCAGGATTCAAGCGCTCAGACTGAGAACTGCCTTCTGATTGGACAAGGCATCACCCACTTCTAACAGGAAGTGACGTACCGAGCTTGGCTTACTGGCTACAGATGCGCATGTGCGAAGCGAGGAAACCGGACATCTACACCGAGACCGTGCGCGCACCCGGGGCTAGGTGGGAGTGCGCTGGGGAGGTGAAGTATAGCGCAGTAGTGAATGATACAAGTATCACAGAGAGAGTGGGAGTATGTGAGAGCTGTAGGTTCGGGTATCTACGGGTTAAATGCGTGTGTGAGCCAGTCACGTACGTAATATATGAACTGAACACACTGCCCGGCGAAAAAACAACAACATTATAAGAGTCGTGTTATCAATGTAATGCTTATTGTTCTCTCAGTGTGCTAAAAATGTGGAAACCGAATTCCAAAATGTAGATTATACTGAGAGTATAAAGCTGTGAGAGGAGCTCCTCCGTGCAGCTAGTTCTGCCTACATTTTATAATTTGCTTTTCACTTCATTAGAGCCAAGCAATAATCTGAGAAAATGATTCGGTAATAATCAAGACGTCAAGTACTCTGCTACGTTTGCTATCCTCTTCAGTTTACTGAGCTGCATCTGGATAGTTCCATGTTTAGAACTCCGCCAAATCAGCCAGAATGCTTCTTGCAATAGCTCAAGATTATGAAGCTACATGGTCTATTTTCCCTTCCCTCCTCTATTGTTATCCCTCTCACAATTGTCAATCGGGTAAGGGATTAGGAGGGACTACATCTTCTGATTCCTCTTTATTGAAGGAACCCACAAATACCATAACCACTACAGTCAACTGTAGTAGTTATGGTCCCAGTAGTTCCATCCTATGAAAAAATTCAAACTGTTTAGCAGGCATAAACCCACAGCCACATCTGCCACATTCAGTCTTGTCCAGCAGGAGATGCCAGATTGCTAAGTAGACAGCATAATGGCAGTGCTCATTAGTTAAAGGGACACTATAGTCCCCAGAACCACTATAGCTTAATCCTGCAGGCTGAGCAATGAAAAACGCTGGCCTTTCAGGGAAAAGACAGTGTTTACATTGCTGCCTAGTTACAATTCAAGTGGCAGTAACTGGAGGTACTTCATAGTCCAGTACTGCACAGTGTGCAGTACCTAAGTACAGACTCTCCATGGTCTGCATGGAGCCAGTAAATGCTTTTCATAGAAGTACATTGATTCAATGCATCTCTATGAGGAGATGCTGATTGGCGTTGTGTGGTGTTTTGCTGTGCATGCGCAATTACCTTTTTACTCGACAGAGAGTGGGTGGGGGACCTAAACATTTATTCCAAAAATTTAGTTTGAGGAATGCTTGTTTGTATTCTTAACGCTAGTGTTCCTTTTAACCCCTTCACGACCGAGGACGGTTCAGGACCGTCATCGGCATTTTTGCCTTGCAGACCGATGACGGTCCTGAACCGTCCTAACGGTCTGAGTTACTTACCTGATCGCCGTCGTTCCCCCGGCGGCGATCAGCGTGGCTCCGGTTGTGGGGAGACTGCCTGCAGCCCAGACAGTCTCCCCACACTGAATTAGGACCCCTGTGGCCATGTGATCGCTCAACAGAGCGATCACATGGTCACAATAGGTGTCCATGTGTCTGACTGCAGGGGGACTGCCTGTGCTGACAGGCAGTCTCCCTGCTAGTGTAAAATAAAAAAAAAATAAAGTTAGTGTTAACAAAAAAATAATTATATATGTGTATATATGATATATAGACATATATTATACGTATATAATATATGTCTATATATCATATATATAATGCCATACTAAGTGTATTTTTATATTAATATAAAAATACACTTATAATTAAATTACACACGTGTGTATATATATATAATAACTATATATATTGTATATATATTATAAATAAGTAATTTAAATTAAATAAAAAATTTTTAAATAATAAAAATTTTAAAAAATTATATATCTATATGAAATTTTATTCTAACTGTATTTTAAAATTAATATATATTTATATCAAAATACACTTAGAATGAATTTGTATATATATCTATGTATATATAAATAAATAAAAATAATACGAAATATACATATGTCCATATACAAAATTACATAAATAATTATAGAAATATACACGTAGACTTCAAATATATAAATATGCATATATATTTAAATTCTACGTGCGTATTTATGTAATATTTTTACATAATTCAGTAATTTTATTGATTGCAATTTGAGGGACCTGCCTGCCAACCCAGGCCGAAATTCCAGAGAATTGAATTTGCTAGCACTGTATTTTA